CTAATGAGTCTGCCTTTTGCTCGTGACCAAAAGGGGGGATTTTTTTTCCCCATCCCAGTCCTATCTTGAACCCCAAGCCTGGCTCTCTGTCCCTTCTTATTGCTGGAACGGAGTGGCTGAATGGTGGCTGGCTGCCGAACAGGCTCAAACCACAACAAAGGAGAAGACAAGAATCACAGAATCATAGAGGCCGATTCCCTTCTGCTGCAGCTCTTCCACTTTGCGTGAGGAAGTGAATAACTAGTTTCCCACAACAAGAACAAGACTGATTAGAGATTTGATTAATTCAAACTCTCCACATTAAACACAAATGCACTAATCAGACAACTGCAGAACCCTTCTCATAAATCTTGGTCGAAATAATATTTAATTGTATACAACTCTTTAAAAAACACAATTAAATTCAACCACAATTGACCGGTATAACCTGGTTGTATAAACTTGCTTATGGGAGAACCTCAAGTCTTATTCTGGCTCCCTGAATTTGGCTTTCAACACCCATTTTTTTCCCTCACACCCACCTGAGTACCAAAGCTTCAAATACAGAGAACAAAGAACAGAAAACCAGGGCCATCATTCAAATCTCTCCATCTCCCAACTATTTGGATGTTTTTTTGGAGCTGACCAGTAAACCTCAGACCATTCTGCATTCTGCTGTAAGGCTATGAGCCCTGCAGAAGCTGGGACACTTCTGTAACTCTGGGCATCCTATGCATAAAGGTGAGAAAATGCTTTGAAAAAAAGTAGCACACTCATTATTTTTCTAAGTTGCATTACTCAGTGTTATTAAATCTGCTATTAGATATGGGAGAATATTTCCCAAACTACACTTTCTGCAAAATCTCATCTGCCCTTAATCCTTCTTCTCTGAATTATGTCCAGATTGGTAAAAACTGTCGGTCAGAGCAGGCATTAGTGTGGGTTTGCTGCCTGTCTGCACTGCTCTGCCAGGTCATGGTGAGGATGTTACGCTTTTGTCTGTATCCACAGTGTAGGTCTCTGGTTATTCCCAGTGCCCACACTGCACAGCCTTCATGGAATATCCATCCTTGGAGATAACGAGAATTCATCTGGACACAGTCCTAGATAACATGCTGTAGGACACCCTGATTGAGCAGAGTGGTTGGACAAGGTGACCTTCCAGAGGTATCATCCAACCTCAACAATTCTGTGACTGTGTGAACCCTGCAGCATGGCACACTTCTGCACCCACAAGGCCAGAAGACACATTTCTATCAAGGCCACCCAAAGTGCTTCACCTCTGACTTGTCACCATGCACAACCCTGTAGGTCTCATCTTCAACCCACAGTGAGGGCCCTTCCTGACTCGTTTGCTATTTATATATGCTGCAAAAATGGGGTAGGAGAACACAGGGTCATTCCAGCTGGACAGTGGACCACGAACTGTGCTAAAATACAAGGCATGGACAAAATATGTCAAAGAATAGGGAAGCTGGCAAATGAGAACTGCCTGGCTGGGCAAGCAAGCAGGAGCGAGCCTTTGTTGTTTGAGGTATGACTGCTATTCAAGGAAGAATCAGATCCATCTGAATTGTGTCTCTGAGAAACTCCTAGATTTGGCTAGCTGGATTGCAAACCGGGCATCAGCTGGGTCCTTGCAGGCTGCATGTCACCACATCTCCTGTGCAATGTACATGTATGGGCCCTGAGGCTGGAGAAGGGGTGTGGGGGTGAGAGAGAGCTGAGGAAAGAGCAGAGAGGTCTGTGCACTGCAGGGAAGTCTTTGCAACCAAATTGGCATTCCTGCCAATTTTTGTCTGCCTGCATGCCTGTGTTTTCCTGCACATCAGCTGCATGCAATAGAAGGTACTGGCTCCAAGACAACCTAGTCTGTCTAAACTGGTTGGTTGTGCAGGGAATGGGGAAGGACCTGCACGAGCGGGTACCAGCCATGGCTTTAACCATACCATAATGCAGAGGCCAGAAGGCAGCAGTGGCTAACAAGATGGTGCTGGCTAACAAGGTCATTCCCATTTTGAGCTAATTTAGAATTCCACATTCATCACAAACCCAGAAAAAAATCAATAGGTCAGTGAAATCACTAAACTGACTACAAATGTGGAAGGTGTGGAACTGCCGATGCCCCAGTGGTGACGAAGAGGACTGTAAAAGGACAGATGACGCACTGTTCATATTTAGTACAGTAAGTGCTTCTGCCTTTGGGACTACACCATCAATCATCATGGAAAGAGGCCCGAGCATGGAGGTCATTTACAAGACAACGCAGTTGCAAGTGAGTCAGGATTCAACCATCACTTAAAGTGCTGCTGATCTTAGACCATGTTGTCATTCATTCTTGTATTCTGCGAGCGAAGCCAAAACACTGTATGCATGCAGAAAACATGAGCAGCATTGGAAATGAGTATGCACCTGCAGCTCACGTTTGGGCTCCAGGTTTATTTTGAAGTTTATCAGTTTTTTAATGTCATGCTTGCCACAAAGTCCCATGTAGGTTTTCTCAGTGTTGCTACTCTAGCATGACCCTAATTCCTTTGAAATGGGCTGATACAGTAGTTGTCTGATGGGTTTGCTCAGATAATTACACCTCAGCATTCACTCCAACTCTTCTTATGCCTTGATTTGAACAGAATGGAGTAATTTGGCACTTAGATTTGAAGACAGTAGGAGATAGAAAATCCATTGCTCCCTGTGAACTTCTCTAAAAAACTGTAAAACCACCATTTCTCTTTCATTTCTTAGTTTACACATTGTCAAATCTGATGGTGGTGAGTTAGTAGGAAATACTATCTTATGGAAATATTAAGAATTTCCAATGAAAGCAGGATGGGAGAAAGAATTGTATATTAAAATTACTAATATGTCTTAACAAAGGGATATATGTATATTCTCTATCCTTCAAGTGATCATTTAATTTAAGATACCTAGCTACATGGAGAGGTTATGAACTTGCATGCTACTAGAGTTAAACAGTTAAAACCATTTTCTTCTGTTGAATACTGTGAAGAAAAATCACATCTCTTGCTCAGTGTGTCCAGCTGGTACAGACAGTTTCTAAGCATGTATCCAAATTACAAATATATTTATAAATTCATGTTCCAGTCCTGAAATTTCCCAGGATATTATGAATTGAGGAATTTCAAGAGATATCAAAGGCACAAGGAAGATATAACAGTATATTCCTGTTAACTGGAAATTTTTTTAATTATCCAACATCATCTGACCACAATATTTGAATTTTTATGTTAAATTGTGTTTAGTTGCAGACCACAAACTGACTTCTCTGAAATTTTATCTCAATGGCCTCCATACTGGTACTCCTATCCTTACAGTTCGTGGCTCTTAAAAGTCCAAAGCAGAAGAACGGGCAAATTCTAAGAATGAATGTAAGATGTTTCCTGAATGTTAAAAATTAGTTTGTATGTTGATTACTGACTCCATTGATGTTTTCAGTAAAACACTCCACAAAACCTTACAGGAATATCATAGCCCATCAGGAATATCAGTAATACATTTTCCTCTGTGGTAGAAACATTACATTACCTGAACTCGTTCATTATGCAGCAATAGGAATCAGTGATTTTGGTATGGACTTATAGAACAATAATTAATATAAAATCTAATTTTAGAGACCAGGGTCACTTTCATATGATACAATGTCTTGTTTGATTTTCAGGTCTAATCACTGAGGAAATACATCGCCCCTTCTCATTCATCACATGCATCCCTCCCTTTATATCTAGTTTCAGAAGGAAGATGTAGCAATTAGCTCATGTTTTGGTTTTGCTTTTTTTTTTTTTTTTTTTTTTTTTTTTTTTTTTTTTTTTGATTGCTAACCATCTTATGTAAAGTTGGTGCTAGCAAGGACTTGTATTGTCATCTTTTTATTCTAACTCTGTCTCCCCTCTCTCCTTGACTGTCATCTCACCTATGAGAAAAATGGTAATTAAGACAACAGTGGAAAACAACAACACCGGGTCTTCGGACTGTTCTGTAGTTTAGTACTAGTAATGGGCTTTTCACTGCAGGACAGTATCATAATATTAATTGTGATTTTTCAACCAAGCCATATAATGCAGCTCTTCAAAGATACATTAATGAATGCTTGCTGATCCTTTACTGATTTCTGTGTATTTACAATATCAGCCTCAGTAACAACTCAGACTTCCAGCATGCACTGTACTTCAACAAAAAAAAAAGATTTTAACATGAAATATTTTTTCATTCAATGAAAGGTCTGCTTTTTATGTGAAGCTACACAGGCCACAGTTTTTACAAAACATCTCCAAAAGCACAGGGAGAAAAAATAAATTATGGGATATATTTATTCCAACTGAAGTGAATGAGCTAAAAAAAAAATCTGATATTTGGTAAGTTTCACCACTGTTATGCAAAAAAAAAAAACCCTTTAAATATTTATAATTGGGCCCAGATTTCAAGGTTAAGGTTCTCATATAATAAACTGTTACACTTTAAAAGAATGCACAGTTAAATAACAAGAACACTCATAATGTACATTCACAGTGTACAACAATAGTTTTATGCTACGGTAACCAGATGAAACAAATGGGAGTTATAGCAGTACAAAAATCTAGAAAATCTGTGATTAATCAAGTATAGGTCCCTATGGCATATAACTATATTATTTGCATAAACAGAGGCATGGGTATTCAAAATCATGGCTTAAGAAAAGAGGTGAGACCACTGGAGGAAGAATGTTGGAATTTACCCCAAAACTATCATTTACCTCTAAACATAGCTATCACTGATCAAGACAATAAAACACTGCATGCTTCTGTGGCTGCTGCAATGCTTTTCTGTTTGTAACACCATTATGTCAAGCTCAGCCATGAGCCTTTTCATGTAAAGAAACAGAAGGGAGAAAAATACGGAGGATGAAGAAGCGAAAGGAGGAAAGAATGAGGAAAATCATCAATAGAAAAATTAATCTGTATTGCAATTCTTCCAACTCACAGAGTTTGCCTGAACATTAATTATTGTTTGAAGCGTTGCTCACTTACCGACATCAGGATCAGTGGCTTGGACTCTTGTTAACAAAGCTTTAGTGGCTGTATTCTCATAGACACATGCGGTGTAGTGATCAGATGAAAACACTGGTGGATTGTCATTAACATCTTCTAAAATAAGATGGATTTCTGACTGGCAAAACCTGCCACCACCATCTGTGGCTCGGGCAACCAAGTTGTACGTGGGAATTTTCTCTCGGTCAAGAGGGGCCAAGGATTTTAGCTCACCTGAAAATGATTAAAAACAGCAGCCATCATTACTACTGTAGCAACATCACTAAATTTAGATAGCGTATCTCAGAAACATGTATTTCACAGGAATAGGAAAGAGAAAAAAAAATCAACCTTGCTTATGCCAATGAATGGATAAAAAACCTCAAAGCGGTGTCACTTCTCACTCCTCTTTACCCAACAAAGTGAGAGGCCAGTATGAGTATAGGGAGGAAAAGCTACTCCTGGCGTCCTTCAGGAGCCTACAACTTCACCCATATGAACACTATCATGTTTCTCCAAGTCTTTCTGTTACTCTCAAGATTTATATACTCCTAGAGACAGAAACACATCCTGAATCTGATGACAGTATCCTTAATGAACTCCGTAGTTTTCTAATGCTACCATTCAAAAATAACGTCAACATGCCCCTCTCTGCTCCCCACAAAGCAATATCTCACCAGCTCTGAATTCCTGTAGATATCTCTGGCATCTAGTTTGAAAGAAACTTCTTATTCTCATACAGAGATGGGTATCACAATAAACATTGCCAACAACAAAAAGCCAGCTTATTCAGACTGTGAGAGCTTTACCCATGATCTATTCGCCATTTCACAGATAAACAGCTGCCAAACATTGCCACATCAGCAAACAACCACTAATCGTATGAAGATAAGTTTGGGGTTAATTTTGTAAAGGGTGTAATTTGCAGAATTAAATACAAAATTTGTCCTTGAAGAGGGCAATAATTCCCCTTCCACACACTGCATAAATCTCCAAGCACCTCCTCTTCGATCAGTAATGCTACGGCAATAGTGGGTGCTGCCTTCTGCTAGTCAGGCAGAGGAGGCATTGCACAGGGAAGGACTTACGTCTATCATTATAGAAAACAAATTCCTAAGAATAACAGAGGGGTGGGATTTTTATTCACGGGAAAATTATTTTATTTTTACTTCATAACAACCATATAATCTAAATCTTAGCAGAGATCAGTATCTTTTTCCAGACAAACTGCCCAATGCATAAGACCTCTGTAGCATTTCACTGTGCCAACATTTTTTTCTTTTTTTACAGGGTCTAAATAATGATATATCTAGACTGAGGTGGAATAAGTGAAATGAAAAGGTGAAGCAGGACTATGTTGTCATCTTCCCCTCTTCTGCACCAAAAAGACTCCAGGACAGGCACATCTATCTGGACTTCTGTAAGGCCTATGACACAGTCCCCCACAACATCCTTCTCTCTGAATTGGAGAGCTATGGTTTTGATGGATGGACTGTTTGGTGGATGAGGAATGGGTTGGATGGTCACATCCAGAGTGTAGTGGTCAACAGCTCAATGTCCAGATGGAGACCAGTGATGAGTGGTGTCCCTCAGGGGTCTGCACTGGGACCAGTACTGTTTAATATCTTAAACAATGCCATAGTGGGATTGAGTGCACCCTCAGCAAGTTTGCAGATGACACCAAGTGAGTGGTGTGGTTGACACACCTGAGGGATGGGATGCCAACCAGAAGGACCTGGACAAGTTCAAGAAGTGGGCCCATGTGAACATGTGTGGCAGTTCTGATTATAACATTCAGCTTGGCCAAAAAAGACACCTCTCCTTCCCCCTCCAACCACCACCTCTTCAAAAGTGGTCATCCACACCTGACATAATTGGAACAATTGGCTGATAATCAAGTGTAACCTAACCCCAGTTAAGGAAACCAGCATCCACTGATGCTGAGGGATTAAGAAGGCTATTCAGAAACATTCAGTTGTCATCTTACCATTTTCTGGATCTAAGAAAAATTTATTGTTCCCAGCACCATAGAGAGAATAGCGAATTTCACCATTGGACCCAATGTCAGCATCTTTAGCACTGATTTTAAGAATGACTTTGTTTGATGGAATGTCTTCAGGAAACAGTGCTGTGTATGCAACCTAGAGACAAAAACAGAAGTGTAAGCTATGCTGTAACAGTATTTTCTAGTCTTTGCACAAGCTTTTTTTTAAACTCTCTGTAGTGTACCCTTCTACATTGGAAACAATTTTCCTTTATGTAACACATTCCTAAAAATTCAAATCACTGTTAAGTGAGGTGTCACAAAAACAATGCCAAATTATGACTCTTAGCATGCAGTCTCATTTTCTGTCTTCTGTTTGTTTCATCAACAACCATGCAATGGAAACTTTGATGAGTGTGCTAACAAAGAAAACTTTTTATCACCTCATCCAGCAGTGTTTGAGGGAGATACAGACCGATTCCCCAGAGTGGTGCTTGCAATGACTGTGGTCCATCAGTGATAATGTAATGATGGGTATTATGTAACTGTATACATACCTATACATATATATATATATATATATATATAAAAGATTCTGTGAGCAGTATCATTAAGGAACTCTGTGTTTCATCGTGTCTTTTGTTTCACATGGACCCTTCTGTTGCAGTAACATCAGTTGCCCACATTGCCTTTCCACAGAATAAGAGACAGCTAGCACTGTGAAAGCTGTGGTCAGGCTACACAGCATGCATGCCCGACAACATGAGAGCAAGCTACATTCTCCTGCCTTTTCCACTGTGTCTCTGGCATCTGCCAGGTTCAGGAAGGCTGGAGTTAAACTAGATGGGAGACATTTCCACATTGTTTGTGATGGGAAAACACAGTTTTTTCTGCAGGAGAGGAGCGGCTGCCCAGTGCCATCTCACAACATTTCATTTTTTCTCAAGTCAACTAAAGCTACTGTGGACAAGACTCCTTTGCTAGCTTTACTAGACCATTATCCTTCAATTTTGGCTTCACAGGACTGGTTTACATTGCTCTTCTCCCAGATCACTCCAGATTCTTCAACTAAGACCTTAAGGATGAAAATGAGCATCACCTGTGAATATTTGTAAATATCAGGGACATCCATAGGGAAACCATCGCTTTCATCACAACAATTGATTGTCATGGGTGTTGCTAACTCACCTGTTCACAAACTGGATTATTATCATTAACGTCAGTGACGGTCACTTCCACAGCAGCTTGGGTTACAAAGAGGCCATCTGTGGCAGTGATGTTCAGATAATAAATATCTTGTTCTTCCCGGTCTAGAGGCCTTTTAACATAAACCTTCCACTCATTCTGAACCAGTCCCAGAGCGAATTTCCCTTTGGGATTCCCTCCTGCAACGAGACAAGCAACATGAAACAGGCTGGGGTGTCCCTTAAGAGCTCCCGCCTAGTTTAAACACAGACGAGACATCGCATAGGACCTGAACTAAGCAGCCCTCATTTGTTTTACAGTGATTGGTGCTTTCAAACTCGCAGACTCAGGAAATCTGTAATGACATTATGCCCCCTGTGTTTATTGCCCCCCGAACGCCTTGTATGAAAGTGAACCAATAACTTTCAGTGGAAACAAAATCCATTTAGCAGAGCTGAAGATGATCTCTTGTTTAGCTCCCTGTAAGGGCAATCAAATTCAAACTGTGAACAATCAATAGTTCTCTCAGGCTGGTACAATTGTCTTTCCACTTAGTCTCGGGAGAGGATGTAATACACCGTAGCTCTTGTTACCAAGACAATTTCATTAGCTGTTGATTATGCAATCAAGGACTGGAAGTGGGTTCTATTAAGGAATCCTCTAATGAAAGCTTTATCATACAGCTGCGCTGTTCTTCTGCTCATTAAAATTCTAGTTTTAAAAAAAGTTTACATGACACAGGAAGACACATTAGTATTAAATAGTCCTAACAAGAGGTCATTTGAGGAGCAGTTGGAAGATAAGCAGTAAAATTAGATCAAATGTATCCGAGAATGAAAGCTGGTGAAAGGACTGCAGGAGATGAACAGAAGAGCTTTTTATCGTGCCGTAACACTGATGCTGAACCTGGCAATGTTGCTCTTCCACATCATTAAATTGCCTGGTGACAAAAGCAGGTTGGGAGAGGGAAATTTTTGGTCCACATCATCTTCAGGAAGGACATGTCACATGCAGAAAATTACAATAATCAAGGCTGGCCCAGCTGTCGTTAATGTTTCCAACAGTTATTTACTCTTTCATCTGAAATGGTACAGTCCCCTGACTGCTCCATGAAGAAACCACCTTCAATCACCTTTCTCTGAGCTAAGTCTCAACCCCCTGTCAGACCAGATAGTGAAATCTTTTAAACCAGTGTTGTGGCTTAACCTTGGTATGCAGCTAAGTCCTACACAACCGCTCACTTACTCCCCCCTGGAGGCAGAAGGGAGAGTGAGTCGGAAGGGTAAAAGTGCAGAAATGTGTGGGTTGAGATAAAGTCAGTTTAACAGGTAAAGCAAAAGCCACATGTGTAAGCAAAGCAAAATAAGGAATTCATAGCAGGTGCTCAGCCATCTCCAGGAGAGCCGTGCTCCATCACCCATAACAGTTACTTGGGAAGACAAATGCCATCACTCAGAATGCCCCCGCCTTCCTCCTTCCTTCAGCTTTTACTGCTGAGCATGATGTTATATGGTCTGGAATATCCTTTGGTCAGTTGGGGTCAGCTGTCCTCGTTGTGTCTCCTCCCAGCTCCTTGTGTCCCCCAGCCTCCTCGCTGGTGGGGTGGTGTGAGAAGCAGAAAACACCTTGTCTCTACGCAAGCACTGCTCAGCAATAACTAAAACATCCCTGTGTTATCAACACTGTTTTCAGCACAAATCCAAAACACAGCCCCATACTAGCTACTATGAAGAAAGTTAATTCTACCCCAGCCAAAACCAGTAAAGCCTACTACCCAGTCTTCTGTGGCCAGCGTCTAACATAATCTTGGTCTGTAAAAACATATCTGCACATTAATAATTTAGAATAGGGCACTACAGTCATAGCAAACTCATGCTACAGAAACTGAGTGAGGATGTAGAAAAAAGCATCACGCTGCTCCACTGGGTGAACTTTAATTCTAAGTAACCTGCTACTAGCTCTTTCCCCACCATATTAAGCTCTCTGCTGAGCTCTCCCATGCAGAAATGCAATGTGAGAACTACTTTCCATGTTTCTCATGTATAAAAGTGGTATAAAAATATTAAGGGAATGCTGCTTCTTTCTTGCAACAGGATCAAGAATGTCAAGCATGCTAGTGTACTTCTGCTTACAATTTATTCAGGGTCCTGACATGTGTCATGGGATCTGTCCAAGCTCAGTGGAAAGACCAGGTTCTAAAATCTTCCTCTCTAGTACTTGGGTTGAAAGTTTGAGTAAATAAGTATTTTTTAAAAATCCAAGCCTGAATTTATTTGAGCTTACTCTGCTGTCAAGCAATGAGGTGTTACTGTTGTTGCTTCTGGTGTCACAATTCTGTCAGTTCCCAGGGATCTTCTTAGCAAAAAAACAAGGCAGAGAAAATCTGAACTTGAAACTGAGCTTAAAACCAAGCAAAAAAACTCTAATGCACATTTCATATCTTCTTTCTACATCAAAAAGCAGAAAAGAGGTCACATCTATGCCTTCTTCATTGGCTACCAATGACAAGATAGACTGGCTTCTATTTAATAGGAAAACTAAGTCAGTTGAGACAGGCTGAGCAAATCTTTCCTGTTAAGCATCACCATTTGTGCTAGCTGTAACTGTGTCAAAAAGGCACGTTGTAATGAATAAGATTTCCAGAAAACTAGTCAGATAGGCATTATAATTACAAAAGGCTCTCTAATCATACAGAGAGCAAAACCGATATATCATAGATATTTTCTGTTGATAGAAAATCACCATTTTTGATCACAAATCCAAGCAGATTCCAATTTTTCCACTAATTTCTAAGACAGTCTGGAATAATCATCAGAGGACTTAGTTAAACCTTGTTTAATCTGTTGTGTGATATAAACATACGTTTCTCCTAAAGAGGGTTACACAGCACTTCGATGTGCACTACAGGCCAGATCTGAACTCAATCCAAGGAAATGAGAATCTGTCTGTTGACTTGAATCTTAATGTGACTTCAAAGAAGGTAGACCCCTGCTGATTGACATTAAATTCTCTATTCAGTTCAACATCAGAATAAAAAAGCTTAACTCTCCTTTATAAAAGACTGTAATCTTGTCACAGTGAGTTTAATGTTGTAAACCGTTAATAAAAATAGTCTTAAATATTCTTATTTAGCTTTGTGATATCAATCAGTGCCTTCCTGCATATTAGCCCTTTTGTAAAAGGAAATGATTAACTGTCCCTACCAACTATGAAGCAATACAGTCAAGGTGTGGGTATCCCATTGCTAAGAAAAGAGGAAAGGTAAAATCTAATTAAAATCAGCTGGTGGCTTTTATGGCTGGCAGTAACACTAGCTTGGAGCAACTTTAAAATCACTGTTGCTTTGTTGCTGATGGAATGGCTTTTAAATCATACATAGGAATTTTGGAAGTATGTATAAAAAAGGATCCTTGGGATCCCTTTTCCTCCTTTACTCCACTAGAAAAGGATCAGTTTGAATGACTAAGAAACCTGTGCAATAAGCAGCAAACGTGTAATAGTTTATCTGCATCCCTTTTTCATTAGTGATATCTTTCATTTTTTTGCTTCTCAGGACTGGCTATACACTTTGCTGATGGAAGACAAAGGTGTCAGTTGTACTATAAAGTGTAACAGAAATAATGAGATGTAAACACTAGAATATCATCAAGGAAATATTAAGAAAGGAAAGGCAAAAAAATCTACACTGTGGCCAGGGAATCATTTTCTAGTACTTATACATATGTCTTGACGCAGATCTCATTCTGCAGTGATTAATTAACTTTTTCACTAATATATGTAAGCAGATTCAGTTTCCTAGGGGCGTTCTAATTAATTAGTTTTTCACTCTGAATAATGCAGCTTTTCTAAACGGAAGCCTCCTGACTACATGTATTAATGTATTCTTTAAAATCTTTTGGCAGTTTTCTTACGTTCTACTTTGAATGTCACAACAGTGAAGTGCTAGCTACAAAAAGCACTCCAGTAACTTTTTAGAAAGGCTTTGAGGCTAAAAGAATCAGCATTATCTTTTATCTTTTGTTACTTGAAGTTTAAATAATGCTCTCCCTCCCTCCCTAGTCAGCAAATAGTACAAAGCCAAATCAAGCTCAAGTTTAAGTAAAGAAAGAAAACAGCCAGATACAAATGAAATGCAGAGACACAGTGATCCAAAATAAACAAATCCTGACACACATCATTACTAAAGCACACACAGAGAGAATTATAACGGCTAAAAGGGATCTGAAAACCAGAAGCCAACAGTATCAGTTTTCACTGCAATGTCCCAATCTGGGAGGGGGAACTGGATATTTACTAACTTATTTCTTTTTTTGTCTCTTACATCTATGCATTTATTTAGATACTTTCAATTCCGAGTTAGAACTCTAGTCATTTGCACCACATAAAATCAATAGGTTTATTCTCCACTCCCGGTTTAAGATGTTGCATGTTTACTGAGCTGCTGAAATGATAAACCCAATCCTCTTAGCTTTACCATCGTAAAATTGCAGACACTGCTCTTCAGCCTGCAACAAAAGTCCTCCCCAAACACTGAAACATCCATTTCTCCAGAACTCCAGGATTTCAAATATAAAATAAAAACAAACAGGAGCATCGCATTCCTCATACCGGACAATCAACCCAGCAAAAAACCTACAGTGTACAATACCAGTTCTCTCTTCCAAAACACACTGTCCATCTTTTTTGTATTCAGCTGAACCAAACTCGAAGATTATTGTCTGTCCTTAGATTTACATGCCTGATGGAGCATAATTACTGAGGAACACAAAACACTTTATTGTACCAAAGTCTTAGCAACTGACATTCTTCTGGTGGCTTTTCCTAGTTCACCACTGTTAAATCTCAGTAATAGCTGGCTGGGTCTAGGCTGGATAAACATCCTAGCTAAACATCAGCAGTTCCCTGGTTTTAGCCAAACTGCCTCAAATGATATAGGCAATGACCTCAAATGAGCCTTCAAAAGAAAAATACTGTGCTTCCTGCATCTGTGTCATCTGCACTTCCTATTGATTTCCTATTAAGATTTATATTTGTAGTGCTTTCGCTTTGTCAACATCTCCAGCTGCTATCAAACTATAAATAACAAAGGGTAACTGCAAATATTTTTTTGCCCCACCATCAAATGCAGATGAAGGTGGATTTGAAAATGGCAACTACTTGCCAGTAATCATGGAAACCAATCCTAAACTGAAGGAGTTCAAAACAGAATATATTTTTATCCACCCCTATAGATATATACAATGTATCTACCCCTTTTCAAAGTTGACCAGAAGAATGTAATAAGCTTTTGTATTTCTCAAAAGAGTGCAAAGGGCTCTCCAGTGATAACATCTGACCCAGAATATTTATTTCTTTCATCTCTTAAATGATGATTTTTTTGATCTATCTTCTGTGTTCTACTTTCCTCCAGCTGCATATGCACAAAGCTGGTTTTGGTGGATCCACGTCATGCTCATAATTTTTTTTTATTTTTCCTTTCTGTCAATGTCCTGTTTTTTCCCAGTTTGTTTATTGTACTCATAGAAGTTTCTATGGCTAAAAGTGCCTCCAGAAAGCCACAGCATTTGAATAATCATCTAGCTAATCTGATTCCATGAAATATTCAAGTGCATTTCCTGAACTCAACTTCAGGTAAAGTGTGAATAGACTCTTTCGTTAGTTAAACTATAATATAATTTGACATTTTAATCAAAAGAACATAATTTCTCCTTGGGCTTTTCCCAGATTCAAAGGACATATTCAAAGACAGTGGAATTTCTGATCTCATGCACTAGTAATGGTACGGTAGGCATTAGAGAAAGTTTTGGTCTTTGACATCTAACATTTTCAGAAACTAAAATGCCAGCAAAATATCTCACATATTTTGAACTGTGATAGAAACTAAAGTACAAAATGATCTATAATTGTTGAGTCATGTGACTGTTATTATTCAAAAGTCCAGCTTTTGCTAAATTAACAGCAAAGGGATGTGAAGGAAACATTATTATGTAACTAAAAGCATAATTCATTGTAAGAGATGGCTGAAAGACCAGAAATGCAGTAACTAATGATCATGGTACACTAACATTTGTTACAAACATGAAGGGTTTGCATTTCATATAGTACTTTCTATACTGGGATCCCCAACTTCCTTAAAATACCACAAAATCTCTAGGATGACTCACAACTGATTTGCTTTTAGATAAGTGGGACCAGAGGCACTAGCAGCTAATGCAGCTTGCCCAAAACCTCCTAAATCCTGTGCTTTATTCACAAGACTGTTTTCGCTTCTACTTCTAATATCCTTCAACTCATCACACTGTAAACACATAGTCTTTCCAAACCTTTAAACTGAATCCAGACTTTCAAGGAAATGGTTGGAGTGAATTTCTGGTTGCTTTGAAAATGATGCTACCTCTGATGCATAACACAGGCAATCAATGGCTAACTGGAATATTACACCTCTCCCTGCACACCATCCCATGGCCATTTCCAATTTAACAGCTAACAAAGGGGTAAGAGTTTTATCCTCCAGAGCAAAATATACAAACTGTTATCCTGTTAGTTAATTTATTTTTGTCCATAGACTTCTTCCTACATACCATCTTACCTAGTTCTAATCCCATCCAGTGAGAAAAATGTAAATTTGTCCCATAATCTGGTTATTACTAGGTAATTAATATTACCTGTTGGATTGTTAAGGTTGGGGGGAGTGACAAAGTTGTTCCCTAACAAAATCTATTGCACAATGCAAGCTGTAGGCAGAAAAATAACCGCAGGACCCCATCACTCATAATATACTCACACAAAAGCCAGTCTGAATCTAGGAGAAAAGAATGATAATAAATATAGCACAATAGGAAAGAGCAATGTTACCACACTTTGTAAAATATGTTAGTAATGTAATCGAAATTGCCTTATGCTGTATATAACAATTCATGGCAGCTAACCAGTGCTTCTAAGTGGATTACTATTTCCCTGGCCAGAAATCTGTGCTGATAAGAAATGGCATCCCCCTATTCCTTCCAATGTAAAATTCATTTTTCCCCCTCGCCAAATAGTGGTATTTCAAAGTGGCTCCTGCATGTACTTTCCTATCTCAAACAGAAAAATGCTATTTCAAAATTTTAAATGCTTGGAAATGTAAGGATTTTATCCTTAAGAATAAATGTTCTTCTTCCCTTGGTTGAAACATTAATTCATGATGGTTTCCAAGCTGACACATCAATTATGATGGGTTGATGGGTCACACTACATTTCACTGCAGCAAATCATGAAGCATTAATCTTGGCAATTAGAGAGAGAATAACCCAGACAGACAGACACACACACATTCCCTTTCCCTCTTTTCAGCTTTGCTGGTTGCTTCAAATGCTATCCAGATTAAAAAAAAAAAAAAAAAAAAAAAAAAAAAAAAATCAAAGAGAGATGCAATTGTCTGATTCAGTGATAATTTAGCTGAAACCATGCTAAATGTTCACCTGAAACTGTACACATGCAGTTCTTCAGTAAAGGTGGTTTTGGGAAGAAAGCACACAAGTTGTTTCTTACCTGTAATATGGTAGCTAACCTGCCGGTTCACATCAGATGTGTCTTCATCCCAGGTGCTAAGAACAGCCACAACTTCCCCTGGAGGGTCACTCTCCTTCACTGACCCTCTGTACACCTCATGCTCAAAGACGGGTGCATTATCATTTATATCTGTCACAGTAACTGAGACCAAGGTGGTGGATGACAAGGATAAAGCTTCCCCCAGATCTGAGGCCACCACTGCAAAGGTGAAAGCAGGATCCTTTTCATGGTCCAGATCCTTCAGCGTGCTGATCCAGCCACTGTTGCTATCAATGGTGAATGCTTCTGTGATCTTCTCCAGCTCTGATTCCACTGCAAGGGTATAGGTGACCTGTCCATTTGCACTCGAGTCTGCATCAACTGCTTTAACTTGCATAAGTTTTGTTCCTACAGGCATTCCTTCCATTATTATAGCATCATAGCTAGCTGTTTCAAACATGGGCTTGTTGTCATTTATATCCAATACCTTAACCTCCACATCCACAGTCAACACGATGTCTACTTTGTCTAACTGAATGGTGGCTGCAACTTTGAAGTGAAAAGCAGGATTTGTCTCATGGTCAAGTCTCTTATCCAGTTTTATGAGCCCCGTGTCTTTCTCTATGATGAAAACCCCATCTTTGTTGTTTTCAGTTAGCTCACCATTAACTGTGGTATACAAAGCACCCTGATTAGGCAAAACATGCAGAATGTCAATGGTACTACCTATGAGAGTGTCTTCTGCTATAGTAAAAGAATACTGGGGTTGAGAAAAGGAAGGCAAAATAGTTTCTGGGGGTAAAACATGGATGTAGACAGGAATGAGGGAATGCTTTACAGGAATGCCACCATCAACTGCTTTGACAAAGAACGACAGAACTGTGTTTTTCAGCTGATTAAAGCTACCCTTGGTGACCATCCATCCATTGTCTGGATCTATTTCAAGCAGATCAGCTACTGAAACGGAAGCTTCACTATATAGAGAATAAGTAATTCTGGAATTGGCTCCATCATCTGGATCTACTGCTTGCACCTGGGTCACCAAGTAACCTTTCCCAACATCTGCTTTGACACTTGCTCTGTATTCAACTGTCATGAATTGAGGAGCGTTGTCATTCTCATCCACTACTATCACTCTCACAGTGCAAAATGTAGTCCTGCCACCTCCATCGAGGGCTCTCAAAAATATACCGATATCACTTTCCAGTGGGTTCTCCCGGTCTAACCTCTCAGTTGTTAGAATCTGCCCATTGCTATCAATCAAAAATCGGTCCTTGGCAAAGTCATTTATTATGGAGTAGCTTATCTGGCTGTATACACCTGAATCCCCATCTGTTGCCTTCACATGGATCACCTTAGTTCCAGGAGCAGCATTTTCTCTAACCTCTGCAACATAAACACTCTGCGAAAACACAGGGCTGTAGAGGTTGGCCCCAAGGATCTGTATGTGCACCTGAGCTGTGCTGGTGAACAGCCCATCTGACACAGAGACATTCAGGCTGTACAGGGGCTCCATCCTCTGTTTGCGATGGTTGGAAAGGGTAATAACACCACTCTTGCTGTCCATAATAAAACTGGTCCTATCATTTCCTGATAGGATGCTGTACTCCAGTCTGTCAAAATCAGAACTGTCAGCATCAGAGGCTTGGACGCAAGTCACAAAATGACCCCGAGGTGCCAGTTCACTCACATATGATTCGTATATTAGCTGGTTAAAAACTGGAGGGTTGTCATTCATATCTGTTATCGAGATACTAACAAGAACCTCACTGCTTAGTGGTGGGAACCCATTATCTGTTGCTCTGACTTTCAAGCTGCACTGCTGTATGAGTTCATGATCCAGCATCCGGGCTGTCAGAATTAGGCCGCTGGTGCTGTCTATATGGAAATAGTCGGTGCTGTTAAAGGTGTCCTGGACTATCTGATACTGCACAATCTTGTTATTGTCAGAATCGGCATCAATAGCAACAACTTGTAGTACAGGAGTTCCAATCAAAGATGCTTCAGACAAAGTAGCATTATAAGCCGACTGATCAAAAACTGGAGGATTATCGTTAACATCATTAATGATCAAGTCCACAGTGACCTCAGCTCGAGCACCAGTGAGGGCATCACTGGCTCGCACCATCAGCTTGAAAAGAGAACTTATTTCATAGTCCAGTGGGCTTATGACACTCAAAACTCCAGTATCAAAGTCAATGTTAAACTGGTTGTAGGGATCTCCATCGACAATGATATAAATGATACCCTGGCCTTCTGGACTGGTTGCATTTATGCTTAAAATTGGTGTGTGCATTTCTACATCTTCATTCACAGAAGCCGTATAGAAGGGCTTGTCAAATACCGGCATCGCTTTGTTAACAATAGTAATGGGGAGCTCTACCAAAGCAGATAACGATGGATTGCCACCATCTTTTGCAAGAATGACAACCAAATACTCTATATTAGATAAATCAGAATTGAAAGCTTCTTTTAAAGTGACACTACCAGATCCTCTATCAATTTCAAAATGTCCGTAGTCTTCCTTCAGAAGATATGACACTTCACCATTTTCACCCTTATCTTTATCAATAGCTGTCACTCGATATATCAGGGTACCAGGCTCAGCATCAACTTGCACAGCAGCATAGTATGGAAGCCCTACGAACACTGGGGCATTGTCATTTATGTCCTCAATATAAACCCTCACCACCACTCGAGCGACACGAAGGTGATCTAGTTCACGGCTTGCTTCCACCACCAACTCATACAGCTCTTGTTCCTCTCTGTCGAAGGGGATGCCAGTTGTCTGAATGACTCCTGAGGTGGATTTGATTTTAAATTTGTTGCCTGGGTTTAATATACTGTATTTCAATGGCTCATTGAGGCGGTTACCAACAGCATTCACCACAGCAATCTTTGTGATATTGGTGCTGTTTTCAGAGATAGAAGCGGAATAAAAATTTTGTGTGAAATGAAGTCCACTATCCATGGCTTCTTTTACCATTATTGTCACCATAGCAGTGCTATAAAATTTCCCATCAGAAACTCTTACAATTAGCATATAATGGTCTTTGGAGAGGCTATTGTTTTTAATGGTAAGTACCCCTGTGCTTGAATCAATTAAAAAATGGTCCATATGGCCTTCAATCAGACTATATGTTAATTCAGGAGGGATCTCTGAATCTGGGTCTGTAGCCTTGACTTTGAGAACCTCAACACCAACATATGTGGGCAGGAGCAAGACTGTCTCAAATACAGCCTGGCTGAAGACTGGTGGGTTGTCATTGACATCAGTTACCTCAATGGTCACTTCCACTGGGCTCTCTGCTGTAAGCTGGGGATTCCCACTGTCTCTAACATGCACATGGAAGTGGAAGCGGGCTATTGTTTCATGATCTAAATTTGCAATTGTTCTGATTGCACCTGTGCTGGAATCTACCGTGAAGTACTTCTTTGCAGTAGATTCAACAATCTGGTAGACAAGCAAAGCATTCTGGTTGCTATCAGCATCAGTGGCACGTATCACGAGGGGACTGTTATTTGCACTCCGGACTATGCTATTTACAGGAGCAGCTTCGCTTATGCTGCCCAAGTACTGAGAGAAGAGAAAAATCGGTGGGTTATCATTTTCATCAACAATCTGTATGTTCACAGTGGCATTTGATGCCATGCCTGCCATATTTGTTGCCTGTATGACAAGCTGATAGAAGGAAGCACGTTCATAATCAAGGGCCTTTTGACTGGTGATCACTCCAGAATATGGGTTTATAGTGAAGACTCCATCCACATTCCCATCTTTAACCTCATAAACTAATGTGGACTGACTGATTGCAGAGAGAGAGATGACAGAAGTACCAATATCCACATTTTCATTAACCTCTGCTTGGTATTCTTTGAGAGTGAACTTAGGGTGGGAGTTATCTGCCATCGTCACAGATATTCGCACAATTGCTGTTGCAGACAGCGGTGGAGAACCTTGATCAGTCACTTTGACTGACAAAACAAACTGTCCGATTGTGGTTAAGTCTGGCTCCTTCAGTAATGTAATGATCCCTAAAACTGGTTCAATCTTGAATGTGTTTCCCGTATTTCCTAAAACACAAATAATGGAAGCAAATTAGAAATTAAATACAACACACTTAATGATAATCTAAACCAGGAGCAATTAGCTTCAATTTGTTAAAGGCCGTTATTGAAAAAACCCAACCCCAACATAAAAGACTTCTAAAGGCTCTTCCATCCTTCCTTTCTGAAAATCAGGTATCTCAGTAGATGGTATAGGTGTTCAAACCTTCAGAATCTCAGGTGCTGCTATCTATATCTTGATTGTGAGTATCAACATGTGAGCAAGTGCTGCAATATACATTACACCTACTGAAGTAAGAAAAGGCATCCCTAAATTATGGGAATTAGTCAAATGAATGTACACCTAAGGCAAAGAAACTAGATCAGAGGCTAACAAGCCAATTACATGACAAATGGATAACAACTCAGGCTCTTAATTGAAGAGGATATTAAGCAACCGTAGAGAAGATTACAGTAGTTCAAGACTCAAAGAACTGAATATAAGAAGGTTAAAGTGACATTTAGAAAAATAGAACAAATAGCATAGAAAAGAGATTCAAGTATCTTGCAGCACAAAGGTTTATCATACGATCTCTGACGAGGATGAATCTAGATGAATGAGATTTAGCAGAAAATGTCATGAAATGTCTGTTACAACAAAAAAGCAGGGATATATCACTGGTTGCATAAAGGTGAAAACAAGTGAGTTTGGATCAAGGATCTTCTTTGGGGTCTTTTTCTCTTTTTAGCCTTTTTGCCAACCTCTTCTTTAGCAAGACAGATTCAAAACTTTTGATATGTAAGCTTACCCTGTAATTAGAGATCACCTTTAGTAGGCAAACCATATTTTGCTGGTTCCTTGAGTGCCTGCTTAAAGTATAGGATGCTGCAAGTGTATATGGCATGTATAAGAATACGCACTCTTTTTCAGAATTTGATTCTAAATATAAACAGCATGTACTGAGTTACAGCAATTCCAATCATTATAACATGTTCCTGCTATTGTAATTTACAGTTTAAAATCTAGAACTGCTTCCAATCTACAGTCAAGCATTCATCCATGACTTGAAGAGAAATATGTCTCAGGTAACTGGTGATAAACAAGAGATTTTCTTTTAATGGTGATTATTACAGGTGCTGTGCGCAGAGCAGTAAATGTAAAAATTGTAGCTGTAATACCAAATACATGGAATCCTAAATGAAGTGAGTTAATGTGAACTATTTTTAAGATGTGATTCACTATCTGTTGTAAATTCTGGGGCCTCGAAGCTAATTAAAGCTACATACTACTGTATGCAGTTCAATACTGGTAGCGGCTTTCTGTTTATATCCATCCTTTCAGATCAGTAAAGTTTACTCTACTAGCTAAAACAAAAATTGTCCTATTCACTGTGGAGCTGAGATTCTGCCAGAGCTACAAATCCTCATAAAGATCACAGTATCTGTCATATTTGCAGACACTACAAATGCTGCTGTAGTTATTTTGTCAGTGCTTGCTAATACAAATAATTTTTAGCCACTGACTGCCTCAGGTCAGGCAAAAGCTGGTTCTTCTTTAGGAATTTCTTACAAAATTACACAAAAGCTACTTTCTTTACCAATTGCTCTCTTTACATATAAAGTGATGTAATTCCCCTGAATGAAAGGGCTGTGTACAATCTGAATGGTGCAGTTAAAATCAGTATCCCCAACTGCAGATTTTATGGATCATAGAAACTACAGCAGCAGAAGACTGAATTTTGATGCATCTGTGATTGGAACTTCCATGGATAATGAAACTGGGGGAGTGTGAGGCTTACACTAAATGGAAGTTTGAAGTCTGATGCTTGAGCCAGAGCTCATGATGAAACAGAAACAGGCTGCAATGGAAGAGAAAGACTCTAGAAAAGAGAAAAACATGCAGATCAAAAGGATCATCTAATAGCTCAAGTATCCTTTCTAATCATCATATTTTTCTGTCTGCAACATGTATGATTCTATTACCAGTGCATGGGAGCCATAGGCCCTAACACTAATCTATGAACATAGTCAGGTTGCTGTTAACATTGTGGTGGCACCTATAGGTGATTATTGGGTTGCAGCCCATAATTGGGGGGGCTGTCAAGAAAAAACTGGAAACAGTCTTGAAAAACACTGCCCCAGGAACCTGATCTGGTCTGCTCACAGTTCATTCTATATGACAGTTTTGTCCTTCCTGGGCACAGGTAAAATCTTCCCTGATCTATATTAAAGGACACTGGAGAATACTGAGAAATAACCGGTGAGACCAAATGCAGTGCATGAAGGAGATACTTGTTTTGTAGTGCTAAGATCTTTGTAGGATCACAATGGTCTAAGCTCAACACTTCTAGCTGCGAAAGACTTCACCTCCTGGTTTGCTTAAGGGACTCTACTTCCACAGAGCATACACGGTAATGACAGAAAAAAGTTCCTTGGGTCTTCTCTAAGCTTCAGGTTCGATCAGCTTAATTTAAGGTGTAAGCTTGATCTATATTAAGTTAAATCAATATGAGATGGTATAGATATTCTTATTTTATTACTTATTTTTGTCATTTAGCCTGCTCCTAATTGAAATAAGTCATCCTAGCTAGTGACAAGTCTTTATAATAATATAGGGATAAATAATGATCCTGCAGGATCAGAACCTAATGCTGGCAAAGGCTTGTGATCTGATTCATATGGGGACAATCTGCAGTATGTAAGGCTTCTTTTTAGGGCAGTATAGGTTCCCAGTTTTGCTATTATTACAATGCAAAGATTCATATTGCTAAACAACAACAAAAAAAGTAGTAATGAAACATTAAAAAATCCAAAGGTTACAAATTTCTACTTTTCTCTTTTTCCAGGCACCCCTCTTCTATATATGTTAATGGTTTATCTCAGAGAGAATTTTTAACATCAGATCCATATGAGCCAGAAAAAGTTACATTCACTTTCATGTGTGGCAGATATAATGCAAATTTCTCACGAGCGTGCTGTTGTACCGGCAGAGGAATGCTTTTGCGGGTACAGATTATGTGGTGAATGCAAATATCTGGTGCTTAACAGCAAAAGCAATTTTAATCTGGTATCACCATGCCCTCCTTTAGTTTCAAGAGACCTTGTGCCATTAAAATGCTATGGCTCTGCTGACACAGGTTTTTAGCATTGCCCTGGTGTTAGTCTCCATGCTCTTCTGATCTGCATGTTGGCAAAGATGCCAGGAAATACCAGCTGTTGTGGGATTTGTTCATGGAGGATCCACTGTGTACTAGACTGAAGCCAGCAACCTGAAGACAGGCCACTGGCTGTAGCTTTCAGTAACTATTCTGTGATGGTTTTGAACCAAAGACTTAGAGGTAAAAGGCTCTTCAGCCTTCTAATGAATGTTCTGACAGGTTTTGGGTATGGTAGATTCAAAATAAAAACCCAACCAACAGGATGGTGTTTCCTTTGACTAGTTCTACAGGAGAAGGTAGACCAAAGAAGCTGACTTGTGTGTCAAGATGGACCAGCATCACAGCACTGCTCTGTGTATGGCATGAATCACAACGCAACATTTTCAGCCTCTGTCCTAACCTGCTTCAATAGTGTAGATCAGCTCTGCGTTTTCTCCTTTGTCTTTGTCCAAAGCTGTGACCTGCAAGACTGCTGATCCAATTGCTGCTGATTCAAACACCGAGGCTTCATACAGTGGGCTGGTAAAATACGGACTATGGTCATTGGAGTCTTCCACATTTATGATGACTCTGGCCAAGTTTCTTCTATAAGGGAATTCTTGATCTCGGACCTACAGAACAAGAGTGTAATGCACATCTTGATAGTCATTTAGTAAAACTTAATAAATACTACTCATCTGAGTGCTAATAATACTTTCAGTTATATTTAATACAAAGTAATAAAAAAATCTATTTGTCCCAAAGAACAGTCTAAAATACATCATGTGTGAGATGATAGATAGTGAAATTAAAGAAACAGAAAGAGCTTAGGGACATTTTTTTTTCAATTGTGAAAAAATGCATGGCAGTCATGACATGAATTTTTAAAGTGGCAACCAGATGACATTTTAAATTTGATTTTAGGTCTGCAAGAAATACTTTTTTAAAATATATTCCAAATGGTCATGCCTTTGCCCTGCTACTCCCTGTTTAATACCATAGAGGCTTGCCCATTGCTCCTTCTTTCAAAGACCTACAAACAATTTTACCCAATATGATCAGTTGTCAGTCTCATGCTTGTAGCTGCCAGTGGACTTTTTCATCATTATATATGTGCATACACTTTTGAAGATGATGATACCAATAGTAAACAGAGTAGAAATTACCTTAAGAAGTGCTGAGCACTCCCAACAGAGGCATCACTGATCACACCTCTCTCAACCCCATAGAAAATATCTCAGCACTGCTACACTGATAATCCTTCCAACATGGGCTCCCCAAAAGTTTGATTCTTCTTAAATAGAGCAAAAACCTATTATATCAGGTTGAGATCAAAATCAAGCACCAGGAAATGACCTCTGCCAGCCATGTCTCTTTGTGATTGTTTATATTTATTTCTTAGGCTGGTCACCAAAGGTCTTGCAGCTTGTTACTCTGTGAGCTGAGACCCAAGTCAGCTCCTGCTCACTGATTCTTAGGGTCCCCCCCGCAAGATGGCCCCCTACCTACCTACCTAACACGTCATGAGCTGTTCCTTCAAAGATCTCTTCTGCAGGAGTCTTAAGTAGTTAAAGAAAATAGCTGACTACAATGTTTAAACTAACACAGATTTTTTTTATTAACCTCCAGCCCATAATATACAATCTTCACTTGAAAACAGACAGACATGTTCTGTAATTTAGTCACACTGAGCAAAAAATGGTAATTAATTTTTTTTCTGAATATCCAAACATTTGGAAATGTAGATGAAAGCTATTTTGTACATCAACAGTTTATGCACTGAAATAAGTCTATAAAAGTAAACTATAAACAAGGCTTGTATTCTGAAAGGCTGTAGCATTCTCTATGGCAAGAAAGCAGTTATCTCCCTGTGAGTAACTTCTAAAATAACTTTCAGCCTCACTTCAGAAACTCTGAAAATTACCTTGAGTGAAAGGACCAGATGCAAAGAGATTAAATAATTTCCTGCTTGCTCTCCCTTGAGATAGAAAATCATATCATATTCCATACAGTGAATTCACAATAAGTTTCCCAAAAAGCCCAAATAAAAAATGTAAAATAAATACACAGCGGGGCAAGCAAGAAGAAAGTAATGACTACTTACTGCACTAAGAATCCTTTGCTTATGCAAAGACTAAGGCATGTATGCACCTGAAGCAGCAGTGACTGTGTCCTGAGCCAGGTGAATATTGCATTCTTACCATGACATTAAGGATGTGCTTATCTTGAGCTTCGTGGTCTAATCTCTCAGCAGTATAGAGCACCCCAGTGCTGGGATCAATTCTGAATTTTCTCATGCTGACTGTATCAATGCTGCTGTGAATAGTGTAGCTCAATTTATGTTTTTCATCTCTGTCTATAGCTTCAATTTGCAGAATTTCAGTATCAGGGAGGATGTCCTCTGAAATGGTGACATCGTAACTTGGCTGAGAGAATTCTGGGCCGTTATCATTGTTATCCAACACTTTGATAAGAACCTACAGTTAATAAAAGAAAAACATTTGAAGTTATTGAAGTTTTGTCAGATTACTGAATAAGCACCTAGAGAAATGTAATTTACTTTAGATGACTGATGATGTTATGCTGCTGTATGGTAGGACAGAGAAGCATAATTTAATATTAAATGCTTACTGTTCAGGTCAAAAGAAATAGTAAGGATATGACTTCAGAGGCAAAAAGTTCCTAATTATAAGACCTACTCAGAGCCTGACAAAGAAGTCCATATATCCATATCTATAGATAGGAAAATATTGCTGCAATGGTCATAGAAAAGGTTTTGCTGTCCCTTGTAACTGTTCTGGTTACAAGAGACTTCTAGAGCTATTACAGGATTTGCTTTCCCCTTCACTATTAGTGAGGCTATAAAAGAATCCTTTTCATGTTATTTAAATCTGCTTTTTATATAATCAATGGCTAAATCCTGTGTTGTTTTCTGCCTGATATATTGCGTTAGGACATACTAGAAATGTCAAAGGCTGTGCTAGGAATGGTGACACTTGATAAGACGAGAACCTCACAAGACAGGGCCTCACGACCATGCAAGCCCATCCCACACAGATCAATACAAACCACCAAGGACAGGTAATCTCAGAGCACTGGTGACAGTGAAGGATTATTTTTGTGGTTTCATCCTTGCTCTCCTTTGCCAGTGATGGTTGTCTTTATTGCCAACTAATTCACTTTCCCCTCGAACACTTACTTGCCTCCCTTCTGTTGTAGTTTATGAATGGTAGAACTTCTGCTAAAAAGGTGAATGAATGCTGTGCCATTTGCTTCAAATCTGTATTTAAAACCTCAGTATTGATACCTAAAAAACCTGGAGAGGGGGGAAGGCAGCCAGGATGCTACTGTTGCTGCCTATTTCAATATATCACAAGCTGACCCTGGTAACTAGTAAGAATCACTGTTTTCCAAGCTTTACTTTTCAAAAGTTATGTGACTATACAATGTTATGCATGCATGGATCTGATGAGGTTTTGTGGTTTAGACCATTGGGGGAGTCACTCCCTGGAGAAAATTTGCTTTCCAGACTTTGTATACCATAGATTACTTTGGGCAGTGTGGCAGCAAAACTCTTGACAAACTACATAATGCTGAAAGATGAAATGCAAAGAGTTGTCTCTTTTTTGTTACTGGAAACAAAAACTATCTTTTGTAGAATATGCCTGTGAAAGCATACACCTAGTTTTACAAAGAATGGAATGGAACAATCTTTTTTATTCAAAGGCTTTGAATTAAGAAATAGTCCAATGAAAAATGTGGGAAAGGCCATACACAGGACTTTTCGAGGTGACTAGATCCATCCCTCATGATATTTTCCTTCTTGTTCTGAAAAGTACTTGGCTCTTTTTAAACAAATATTTTATTATTTTGCTTGATCAAGCCCTGTTCACCCATACTTTCTTAACAGAATAAAAAAAGTTATACTTTTACTGCAATATTGCACAAACAGATGTTGGCCTCAGAGAGAAATGAAACTTTAGATGTCCATGATACGTGGAAGGGTTTGCAGAACACATTACCAGAAAGAACATGACCAACTGTAAGCAGCAGTCATAATGAACTAGCCTGGGAACTGTTTAAAAGACAGTTGAAATAAAATGCTCTGTAAGTTAAATGGCATAGGACTTCAACTGTGCATTCCATACAATTTAATTTTCACCAGATTATGGTACGCTAGAGTGAAGCAGGGCAAAGCCTATATTAAGCTATGCTTCAGTCCTGGACAGACAGCAATAAAATTTGGGGGAAATATACATTGCTGGGCCTATAATAATGATGAAGAGTTACTTAGTTTTTTATTTTTTTGTTGTTGCTATACAATATATCAAGGCATGTTTCTGAACTGATTGAGGAAACAAAAAGCTAAACCCACATCTGAAAAATATGTGAAGAAATTAGTTGTAATACATGAAAAGCCTGAGGAAAAAATGAAAATTCTTCAACTCTGCTCTAATGGGACACAGAGCCAGTGCCAAACCACTTTTGTTAGTGTAAGGAAGAGACACTGAAGCAATATGAACTGGGGAAAATCTGATTACCAGTGTTTAATACTTAAAGGCATCTACTTAAGCAGTTTTGATACCCTCAGTCCTTGCCAGGTAGCACTGTAGCACGGCTGGATTATTTTACTGCTGTATTGTTAACAAAGACAACACAATTTATTTTACTTTTAATTAGTGGCCAAAAACTTTGTCATTTACAGTTTTAGATAGTCTAACAGAGAAGTAAAAACATTTCAAATGGATTCAATTGAAAATACCAAAACTGTTTGATTTTGCTGATGCTAGTACAACATGGTCTACCTTGAACAAATAAGTTGCCATGTGAGGGACAGCCTTGTTTCTGTGAATTTGTTTTTTAACATTGCTGTGTGCAAGCTCAAGCTATTCTGTAAAGGAAAAAAAAAAGTACAGATGCATAACAATGTGTCTTAAAGATACTGCTACAGTGGTGACATGCTGTTTTGTTTACACGGCTTGTGATCACCTCAGTGATGGGGTTCACTTCCCCTTATATCTAATGCATTTTGGGATCACTGGCAAATTGGGAAAGCAGAGGAAGTCATAAAGCCTTATCCACCACAAAGATTGCACCGTGACTGTGCAAGCCACGGCTCCATGATTTATGCCTTCACTAGACTGCATAAACTAAACTGAGTGCTACTGGATCAACATCAGAGACCACGGGTAAGCCATGAGACTATGGAAATTATAGCAAGGATTTACAAAGCAGCATTTCTTCACACCGAAAAAGCTATAAACTAATGCCCTGACACAGACCATGATGGTGCTTGGGGAGTGGGAGGCACGGAGAGTGGAAAAGATAAAAAAAATTGAGATTCTCATTCACTGTGGTTGTTAAACTTACAGGGAACTATGCACTTAAAATTGCTTTGATAGTTTCCAGAAAATAACTTTTTTTTCTTTATTTTTTTTTTCACTTCATATCTGCTGTAAAACTGATCAAGTGCTTGTTTAAGTGGCAGGTATCTTCATCCCTAGAGATGACAGTATTTTAATGATAAGTCAAGTGATCCACATTGAAATACGCATTATTTATTACATACTCTGAATTTCAAAAGACACTTCCATTTGGGGATGGAAGGCAGTGGGTTAGGGATGCTAATGAATAAAGAGGTCATTACTGATTCACAATTTCTTCTATTAAAGCAGTTAAGAGTATTTTTAATTTTTGTCAGCTGTCCCTCAAAATCCCTGAGAGTCAACTTCAATTTTAACATTATGGTCTCTCCTTCACTAGAGGGGGGTGGATTTTTCTTGCAACAAAAAAGTTAGATTATATGTGGGAATACTGATTATACAGAGTTAAATGCACAAGGTATGGAAAAGAAGAAAATGGAATTCTTTTATATTCTTAAAAATTTAACTGTCTTGGGAGCTACTTGAAACAAAATCAGGTGAAATGAAATGGAACTTGAGTGCCATTTTAAATAGATATTACCCCTTCAATTCTTACAATATTTTGAGGAGCAAGTGACCATTATTATCCTGATCCTTTGCCCAGGAAAACACTGCCTGGGTTAAATGACTTACCAAAGCCACACAAAAAGTGCAGTGGCAAAGCTGTGGAAGGTGTTTCAGGTTTATTTTTGAGCCATTCCCCTTTTATTAGGTCACCTTAAAATGCCACCTTCCTATGCAGGAGATTTCCTGCTGCAGCAGGATGACTTTTAGTAAGGTGTTACTTAAAGAGACGAGGGCAAACTTTTCCGTTAATAATGGACAACTGTTACACTGACATGAACACCAGGCTCATAGAAAACCTGATCCTACAAACATATGTGAAGTTGAGTAAGCTGAATGCCAACAGATTGTTAATATGAGGAAAGTTACTCAAATGCATTTAATGGCTGCCAAACTTAGGCATAAAATCTTGGTACTACTGGCAAATCTCCCATTGACTTCAAAAGGGCCAGCACTCTGCTCCTTGAAGACTTAAGCTTTAGCCAGCCTGTAGCACGTATTTAACCCCAAATCAAGTGTTAACCTACTGAAGCGGCTCAAAGATTCACAGTGTATTTGTAATTTAATACTTTCTTTATATTTATTTCCAAAAGGAAGATATGGCAAGAATGAGCTGTGTTACATAAATATACTTTATTACTGTGTAGGTGCCTGGGGTGTTAAGCTGTGACAATACCCATTGTGTAAAATCAAAGACAGGCTTTAAAAGTTTCCCAACACATCTCCAAAAGGTGATGAATGGAAATGTTTACTATTTGTTTGCTGCTAAGTAGAGATTCTTCTTTGCTGAGGACTGTGCAAGGTTACTGACTAAACCACTTTTTATAGACAAACATTAGCTGCAAGTCTTTTTTCCACGCTCATAAAGCAAACATGCAGCAAAGCAGTCTCTGCCTGGTTATCCTTGAAAGCTCGTATCTTTTCCAGCGTGTCGCGGGCTTCAGAAAGGCAGGCTTGCTTCCTTCTGCTGCCATTGTGCAGAACCTAATTTATAGTCCGAACAAGCGCCTTGCTATAAAAGATTTGCTTCTCCCTGCTCACTTCCTATTTCCCACAGTTTAAGCAAGTTTCAAATAAAGGATTCACAAGCTTCCAAGCTTACAAATTAGGCAAAGTAACACTCAGAGCATTAGCAAAGACTTTGTATTCAAAATGCTAAGTGAAAGGCCTAAAGAAATACAATCAAATCAAAGCAGGACAAAACCTAACGCAGGAAGTCTCTCCAAAGCTGTTTTTAATGTTGCCCATCACAAATACCTTTGGTTTAGGCACAAATGTGTTTGAGTGAAAACTGGATAAATGCCAGGATTTGCTTTAGAGACATTTGAAGCTGGAAGAATCCACTTGGCTAATTGCTTGGTCTGGGCACAGTGTTGTAGTACAACCTATTAAGTGCCTGAATTGCTTAAACTCAGGTTACGCTTTTGTACAGGTTTTGAAAACCTATTTTGATTTAATATTGCTTTCAGTAGTGTTACCACACAGCTTTATTTTCTACTCCCTGACAAGTTTTTCTCTCCTCCAAACCCCAACCTTAACATAAAAATGCAAACACTTTCCCTACCAACCTCAGTGGCCTGTTATTTATACTTTTTCATGACCCTTGTGTTATGTTAAAATGGGGGGAAAAGTCTTTGTTTCACAGGCAAGGCAGTGCTGAGATCGCTGGATGGGAGAGAAAAAAAAAAAATAAGGGTTGGGTTGGTTCTAGTTTGGAGGAATGTTCAACTGAGCAAAATTGAAAAAGTGAATTGAAACCCCATGCTTCTTGTCCATCCAAGAAGAATCCACAGCCCAGAACCTCTTCTGGAGGCTCTAATAACTTAGGTACGTTTTGGCCATGGTCCTCTAAGAAAAACTTTTCACCATTCACACCCTCACTCGGGGTGGTCCATCAGCTCCTCTTTGTTAAGAAACATCTTATAAAGAAAAGGTGTTCTCTGAGAGGTGAGACCAAGTTTGGTATCCTGAAACTCACAGCTAAAGTTCAACCTGAGTAGAAGAATAAATAAATGTCCACAACCGTCTGCAAGGGGAGACAAAAAGGGGCAATGAGCAGTAACTTCTCCCATCTGCTCTTTCAGTCGGGTTGGCTTCAGCTGAAGATATTACAAGTGAACCATGTATTGATCTACAAAGACTTTTCAGAGGAAACTGCATGTTCCTCTCTGAGTGTACACTCTACTGGGAAATAGTGAGATGGTTTTGCAAGAAGTGGAACTGAGGCACTTTTTGCTTCCTAGGTTGGAAGCATCAGCCTTCATGATTTAAAGCATCTGTTTTATAGTGGTTAGGATGATGAGAAGGAAGGAGAAGGCAAGAAAATATGCAAGAAATAAAACTGTCTTTTTCATATAATACCAGGACTTCAGGAGTCTGTTCTTAAAAAAAATAATTATCTGCTAGTACAATATTCTCAATAAAAGTAAAAAATTACCATCACTTATATGATTGTTCCTCACTGTACTCTACTTCTGTGGGTATTTTAGCAAAACTCAACTGTATGCACTACAAAGAAAAAAATAAACACTATTCCTCCTATGTTGTGCTTGGTTTTAAAGGATCTAAGTTGTTCAGTATAAAAAAGGAGGCTTTGGGATAAACCTGCCTCACGACCAAGAGAATCTCTAATGTTACACAGTCAAAGTTAGTCAAAATTGTGGTAGGAGTAGGCATTTAGATGCCAGTACAGTGATTCCTTGCTGGGAAAGTCCTCTCTCTGCTCAAGAGAGGGCAAAAGACCATTCCCCAGCACGAAGGGAGGCGGTGGCTGTGGCGAGGAGCAGGGTCACTGCGTGGAGCTGCTGTCCTGGCTTTCTCCAGTGCGGGATGCAGAAGCCCCGTCCCCCTCCCCAACGCCAACAGCTCGCCTGGCAGCTGCAGGAATCGCGTTTCGTGGGGATTTAGAGCCAACGTACGCCTTCAGCTTTTAATAAATTACTGCGTGGCCTGGAGCAATGATGAATTAAGCTAAGGGATAAAAACAAAACCTCTCCTTGGCTAAGTCAGGAGACTTAGCCTTCCTAGAAGTTAATCAAAATGACAGAAGCTTTATACCCACACTCCAAATATATAAATCAAACAAGTCAATATTTCTTCATCTTTTGCCCCCTCCATCCCTCCCCATCGTGGCTGTGCTGCCGTGATGGCTGAGGCTCAGCTGGATGCATGCTGAGTGGCAGCAGCTCAACAAGTCCTGACACTTTGGAGATTGTATTCCTTCTTGAAAACCTGATCATGCTCAAACCAAATAGGATTTCAGTTATAAAGGAAGTCTGTGAATTTTTATTTATTTTAAAATATTTCTTATGTTCTTTTTGCCTCTTCTCACAACAGTGAACCATTAATACAACAGATGTTAACTTTTAAATCAAAATGATTTCCTTCCTCTCATGGTACTGTGGTGAACCACATGCGCAGTAAGACATGAAGGAAACAAACAGTTTATCGGAGTTTAAGGCATGCAGAAACATTGCTGAAGAAACTTCTGCAAGTCTGTGCCAGGGATCATGTTACCGACACAAAAATCTTTGGCATTTTTATGCTGTATTTTACCACCTCCAACTGTGTAATAGACAAAAGGCCAGGAAGATATAAAGGGAAACAGGTGGGGTGGAATAAAAAGCAAGACTGTTCTATTTGGCATGGTGATGATCAGCTGTTTCATAATAACCAATTGCACTTTGAGGGGGGCTTTATATTATTTTATTGTTATACAAGGGGATGAATTTATACATTTTCTTTCCACCCACTTCCTCTTCTACCATATCTTCTTGCAGCTATAGTTAAACATGCAGGTGGTACTATGTATATGAGACAAAATACTTACAATGTCATTTTATCAAAACTCAGAACAAGGCCAGAGAGCCATCAGTAGATGCTTTTTTGACTCTTTCTATGACATATTTTACTTAACCTAACAGTTTGATTTTTTAATTATTGTTCTAAAAGGAAATAAAGATGAAAGGTAAACAAAGGCTCCAAAATACAGTCAAAAATACAGTCTGAAAGTTTTGTAAAAGGGAGAAATAATTAGGCATACTGTAAGTCTGGTAGCTTTGAGATAATGATCGCTTTTGAAATCTTAGTTGTGAAGACCAAAAGAAACACATTCTCAGATGTTGTCCAGGCCACAATTAAATACTTAAACAGTTTCCACATGGACAGAAGGAGGTGGAGGAAAGAAAGGTCTGTACCCACCAATTATTATCTCATGTTCTACTATTTCAATCTTAAATGTCTATCTTACATTTTTAAATAGGTCACATCACTGTTACAAAGAATGCTCAGGCTTCTTTTAGAATGTAACAGCTTTACTGAAATATGTTTTTACCATATGTTTTAATTAAAAATGTAGGGTTTTTATCAAAACAGGTTTTGAAGTCTGTCATAGGGGTCAATTTATTAAACCAAAAGCAGCAAAAACAATAAACATAATATCCATGAGAAGAGAAATTACTTGTATCCAGCATGCTTGAAATTCCCTATGTTTTTTAATATTTCTTTGGCTGAAATGTTTGCAAGAAAAAAAATGTTGTGTTAGCGATTCAACACCACATTTCTGAAATGTGGACTCAGAGTGTTGCCAAGATTAAAAAACAAAGCAAAACAAAAAACTACTCAAGGGCTGAACAAAATGCCTTATGGAAAGGGAACATAAAGAGGTCAGTCATCATCCTTCGCTTGTCTACCAGAAGACTGGGAGGTGATTTGACTATTCTGAGTAAGTGCCTTCCTGGGGAGAAAATAATGTTTTTAAAAGAGCTCTTTAATCGAGCAAGGAAACACATAACAGGGAATACAGGCCAGATATAATCAAGTTAAAAATAAGAGATGTTTTTAGCAGAGATGCAATTAATTTCTGAAACTAACAGGGAAAACAGCAGATTTCCTACCACCTAATTTACTATCAACTGATGTTTACTTATCAAGAGTGGATTATCAAGAGAAATTATCAGATAGTGATACTTAGAGATTTTAAGGCTGGTTATAAACAGGAATTCAGAATGAGAAAACACTCAATGATTTAACAGTCTCTTCGGAAAGTTGGTGTTGTGACTCAGTGAATACAGATTTACATCTGAACCATTTGAGCAAAAAGGCAAGGTAAAACAGAAGCATCTGCGCGTTCAAGTATATATGTAAATATAAAAAAATGTTCAGGCCTTCCTTTTACATTATAAAGAAACAAATAACATCACAACCTATTTTTTTTTATTTAATCTGGGATTTGAAGCTGCATACAGGTGTCCTCTACCCTACCAGTATGTATTTTTCCCTATGTGTCAAATAATATTCAGTCTACAGGCACACTTTATACTTGGGCAATAATTTACATGTAGGATTTCAGGCCCTAAGATAATCTATATACCACAACTCCACCTTGTATTGAAGGATTTTGCTCATTGGAGTCTCCCTGGTACCACTTGGACCACAGAGTCCTTGTCACTGTGCCATGACCCTGATTGTGTCCCAACTTCAGACTGGTTCCCAGCAAAGAGATACCCAGGTTCTGCGTCAGGGTCTCTCTGACAAGGTTGTGTCAGAGCAGGCGTTATCCCAGCCGTTCATGTTTATCTGAGCTGACTTTTTAATTGCTGAAAGGCACTGAGCCTGATAAGCAAGCCTAGTTTTAAAGGGTTCACTGGTGCTGCTCCCCAGAAGACAATGTAATAGTGGGCAGTCACACTAAATGAGAATTACTTTGAATTTTAACTTTCGCTTCTGAACAATTTCTTCTCTGAACAATTGATCCTGTGTCCCGTATTTAGGTCTTGGGAGGATGAGAGGTATAAACTCCATTTAATACAATCAATAGCAATATTCCTCAACACCACAGAAGCACTATTGTATTTTGGACCATTATGGGGTGGTACAACTGTCAAAATCTAAGCTTTACCGTCTGTGATAGGGACTCCCTCAGCTAGAGGAAGGTGAATTACTTTTGCGTGAGCACAAAAAGGACAAAAGGAGAAAAAATGCTTGGAAACATTCAACAGCCAATTCTTTACAACCAGATGGACAGGCTCTGAAAAATATCCCCTCCATTAGTTAACGGTGGTCTCAAAGGATGAGGTTTTATTTGAATGGCAAAATTATTAATGTTTATAGCATATACATTCCACTAACAAATGAAAAACTTGCCAAGAAAGGAATGTGATATTCTACCTGAGTTGTAGCAATGTTTGTTCCATCGGTGACCTCCACAGTCATATTATATATTGACCTCTGCTCTGCATCCAAGGGCTTTGCAATGACAATAGTGCCCACTCCCTTCTCCGCGTCGAAAGAACTATCGTAATTCCCTCCTAATTGTTGCACAAAAATACAATTAAATTAGCCATCTCTGGAAAATTTCCATTGAAAATGTTCCTAGAAGTGGGCATATCTGTTTACTGGCATCCATCTTAACGGCTTGCCTTAGCATACACAGTACCTCTACTGATACTTCTTTGTTCATAACTCATTTATATTTCAAAGCACAGTTTGTATATTGGAAAGCAGATATCATTAAAATGCACTGCAAGAAAAAAATCTAGCAGTATATTTAAGTGAACCATAACTGAGTCTATAAAAAGAATCGAATGGCTGTAAGCCCATAAGATGTGTGCCCTTGTAGTATGGATAATGAACAAGTACAATTATCTTTTTGTATAAAAATAATTTTAAAAGTGTTTTACTCTGCAAATTTTATTTTCAGGAAATTCTCACTGATGCTTGTGGGTGCAAAGACCGTCAACTGAGTCTTTTAAAATTACAATTATAATAAATTTTAAAAATGCAAATAGAGATTTGTTATGTTAATTTCAAGGACAATGATAATTACTGGCAGCAAAGGTCAAATTCTACTAGTCTTTTAGGAATTATTCAAACAGATCTGACAGGATACACATCCTAAATTCCTTTCCATTAAAATAAACCCTCACAAGGCACTGTTCTGAAACTAATATCCTCTTATCCTGTCACATACTGAATGATGCAGCAGTGGGAAAACCCTCCTGAGTCTCAAGTGAAAGAAAAAAAAAGGGAAAAAAAAATCTATTAAAAAGTAAGAGAAAGCCATAAATAGTCATAAATAATTTGAGATTAAAGGGTTACAGGATTTCTCAGCCACAGCTATAGTTTATAAATCAGAACTGCTCATTATGTTCAAAAGTAAAGCACACACTCCCTGCTGCTAAGCTGCTTCCTACTCACTCATCTATAAAATGGAATTTATTATGAGTTAAGTCTGAAATTTTTGGAGGGTGGGGACAGGGAGAGGTGGAACACAACACTGCTGACAAACAAACTTTTAAGGTATATTCATTACACAGCAATGCAATGCCCTAGATACAGTCTCTGACATTCTAGTTCCACAAAGTGGAAAAGGCTTTCAAATCCCACTGGTTATGAAACTTGTGTAAGAGCTGCTCAGAACTCTTGAGATTAGATCCACAGGTAGAAGAACATCTATTCCATTGACTTAGCTCTCGTGCAATATATATAGAGAAACATATATATGAATGGCTGTTGTATTATCACCAAATGGCTCTCATTTTTGGGCTGGGGACAGAGAATTGAAGAGGACAGTCTTCCCTGCTCTACCATCAAGTCTTGCATCTGCATGGTTTGCTGACCAGTGGCAAGCAATATTTTCAGAAATAGTCATGTGTTTAATGAGCAGAAAGAGGTTTTGGCATTCCAGGAAGTTGAAGATTAGGAGGAATCACAGCAAAATTACAGGCCCTGAATTCCTTAATGTGAAGAAACCCTCACTTCTCTCTACTTCTTGCACAGGCTATAGCAAAGAAAATGTAAGCTAGAAGCACTGTTCTGTCCATACCTGCCTTGGAGGACATTCAGGAATAGGGAGAAGAAAGGGGGAGGAAGAATAAGAGTGCAGGTGACCTACAGAAAGGAAAGGCAGAATGGTGAACTTCTGCCCACTGAAATGATCTAAATACAGTTGTTTCAGACATGCCATCAGATCTCCCTATGCTGAATATATGTATATACATATATACAGCTCTAAGACTAATAGTTGCAGCTGTAGTTTTCCAGGAAAACACTGACATTGGATCTGCTGTCATTTACGGTGGATAGAAATACTGCTTATTCCCTAACCTCCTTCTGCAAGCCCAAATTGTGTATTTTTCTCCATTGATACATATATATTTAACAGTATTTGACACTAGGAAAAAAAGCATAATTGTCCTTGATATTTAAGCAATCGCAAGGTATTTGGACATTGACCATATTTTCAATGATTTTTTTTTTTTTTTAAAAGTTAGTCTGGGAGAAAAAGATGCCATCTCCCAATTAATGTTTTAAATCATTTTACTTGAGAAAAATTGTACCATGAAAACCAACTCTGAAAAAAAGCCTCCTTTGAAAAGACTTTGAGATTCTTGCAAAGAAATCTCTGCTGAAATGAATCTAACCTTGGGACAGTAGACACTTTACAAAGAGAATGTTTCATACTGATAACCATGAAAACAAAATGAAATCCTATACTTCAAGATGCTTAATAACCATCTTAATGAGCAATCAAAAATTCTATGCTATCAACTGGCATACACTTCCAAAGAAACCCTGCCTTTAAAACTTTCAAGAAGTAACATGGAAGGATTAGCAATAAATGTTTTAAATGTCCTTCCTCTCTTGTCTTAGAGCTGGGTTTGCAGAGCACTATGTAGTGTATTACAAATACACTGACTTCTTTGCTCCATTTTCATGAATTGAAGTATATTCTTCCCCTAAAATAAGAACTGAATCCATCATATGAGTATTTTATATGTTGTTCACATCTTCCAAAATGGTCTAGTGACAAACAACTATATCTTGGTTGTCAGACAACCCAATCTAGCCTACACTTGTAACCAACCAGGCAATGTGATTTATTTTATATTGATTAATTTTCTATTAAAGAAGGCAGAAACTGCATCAAACACTGAGACAGAGATGTATCAGAGAACATCCTGCTGTGAGATTTGTCATTATAATCTCTTTTGGAGTGAAATCCTGATTTATTCCTGATTCAGTCTGGTACATTTTAACAGACCATGGTCAGATGAAGAACCATTCAGGTGGCTGAACTTTGGGAATATTGCCTGAGATATTGGGACTTGCCTCTCATCTGGAGTAGTAGAAGCAGCTTGGAAATGCTTTGTGCTGCTCCTCAGCCTTCACATACCCTCAAAACAGGTTCTCATATAATGAAAGCTTCTGAAATTATACTACAGCACTGAAGAATAAATAATGAATCAGGTACAAATGCTAAACTCAAAAGTCTATAGATGTGTTAAGTCTATGCAAGGCCTACTATGAAGCAGGCAGAGAAGCATCCAACACTATTATCTTTGAAAGATGGGTGCTGGAGAGGCACAGAGAGAAAGAGAACATTCTTGTGTAAAAACAAACAGGACTCTTCCCTTAAAAACTCCTGCAGCTGAACTATTCTGGGAACTCCACATGAAACCACTTCCTTCTGAAGGTGCTCGAGCTGAGGTCGGAGGATTGAGCCCGTAGGAGGTGACAGCTGAGAAGTTGTCAGCTTCACACATTTCTGGGGCACTTGAGGTTGGTTTTCAAAAGCATGCTGCTGGGTAACTACCAACCCTTTTGAAGCAGACTCATCTGCAGTGCTGTAAGCTCCCACAGTATAAGTTTTACCAGTGTTACTATCAGTCATTTAACATTTTCGTTGGTCACAATCTTAGGATGAAAGGGAGCTAAGTATGATGAAATTGTTTTTAGCTGCTCAGATTTATTAATGTGAATTTTTATTAGTTATTCCATTTTCCAACATATGGCACATGCTTTCCTTTTTATTGTCTACTAAAACCTACTTTCAGATACAAGATGTGTAGAAGCTGTCTTTGCTAATGTGCTTGCAATTGCATTAGGAAAGAGATATTTCAAATGAAGATAATACATTGTGAGTTCCTCAGGCACTTTGGCAAAATCAGTGATAAAGAAGGCAAGATGACTGAACTGGCAAGTTGGCTAAACAGGTTCTCCTGAGAAAGCATTTTAACACTGAATGACCTCAGAGAGATGTGGATTAGCCATTGCTTGTAATACCATTGCAGGCTAAGATATAATGCTGATACATCTTCAATACAGATTAAAGATTTCCCTTGAAATACTCTGATTAAACTGAAGCACTTAAGAGTGAGATTCCATGAGAAGTCCACATCTACTTGCAATGCCATCTGTGGATGAGAAGACTTACCATGTTGGGATGATACAAATTCATCCAGAAAGTGCTTTTTCTCTCTACCTGACTGTTAAGATTCCCAAAGACACCTAGCACAGATAGTTATCTCTACAGTTTGGACACCTAAAGTTAGAGTGACATGATTTCCACCCTTACTTTCTTGAGAATGATCTTAGTGCTCTTGCATAAGGCCTGGAAGCATTCTATTTCTACAACTAGGGATTGTTTAATGTTGTTTGAAAGCATGTTATAGTTTATATAGGATTTTCCAATATAACTATAGCCAATTCCAGCTGTTATCAAACTCAGGATGGCTGTAAAAACAGGCCCTGGTACAAAATATCTTATTATCTGGCCCTCATTACAGCTTCATGAGACCTTTCTAGAACAGCCCTGATTTTCATTTAATAGATGGCATGGTATGGTCAAGAAGGAGATCTCAAGAAATTGAACCAAGACACCTCTAAGCCAACAGACTTTAGGTTGTGTTCTTGGTATAGAGTAGCCTTGGTTACATTTTCTGGTTGAATTGGAGTGATACCTTCATTCTTAGCTTGTTTCTTGGCTTCACTGTCACTATGAGCATATTTTTCTTCTAACAAACATCCTGTATGCTTTGGAAAGAATTAATTTTCCTTTCCATAAAAAACAAACACTGAACTTTAAATGACTAAGAGGAGAGGATCTTCTGATATAAGCTTTCCACTCACTTGGTTCAACGGACAGGCCAAGGAAAACTTCCTGAACTGTTAAAAAGGGTTTCTAGAGGTCAGCTGGAGAATTTGCCTAAGGCAAGATACAATCCAGATCTTGCATTCCTACAGAATGTGGGCTCTGCATCTCTGCCCCTTTCGAATTTCAGTGTTTTTTTTTTTTTATTATTTTTCAAACATATTATGCTTACATTTTGGCTATTATATTTGCACAAGCAATGAATTTTTTTTGTAGTGTTTTTCCTAGATGGGGTTACTTTTTGGGAAGATGCTGAGCCTCCCTATGTTTCTAACAGCTGTTAATATGCAGTTTAAAATGGGATTATGCTGCTGTGAGAAATTATTTTCTCCTCTGAGAAGAAAACATGTCAGCAACTCTGGAGGACTTGCAGGCAAATGAGTCCCACATGAGGACCTTTTTCCTTCTTTTCCAGTGGAACGATCCAGAAGAGTGGGACTGAATACACATCTCAAAAATGATGACTGTGAAGAATCAGACTTGCTCAGTCTTAGATGCGAAGATGGATCACACTGAACTCTGGAGGACATCCCCAAATCAAACATGGGTAAAACCTGGCAAGAGTCTTCCTTCACTGGTAGATAGCAAAGAGCATACATGCTCCATGTTCAGACTTAATAAAGCCAGGATATACTATGATCCTCACACAAATCTCATTTGGCCTACCATGCCATGATGGACAAATGAAAGATGAGAAATACAGGAGATGATCTAATTTGGAGAATAGTCCTCTAAAATACATTTTCTCAGGGCAGAGAAGATACTTACTTGTCTTGTCCCAAAGTAAACTAACACCATCAAGGACAGTGACGGTAAATTGGGCCAACTGCTACAATTCTCACATTGCTTAGAACAGTGAATCAGGGGAAAATGAAGAAAACTAATTCACCCTGAAACTCAAAGGTGAGTCTGAAGTGCCTCTACAATTTTGAGGAAAAGAAGCAAAGCCAAAATTTCCAATTTTTCTCTTTTCAAAAAAGACAAAATAAGCTTAGGTACTGCCTCAACAAATACAAATTCAACTACAGATTTTTGTTAAACGTAACATAATAAATATTAATAATATGACATGCATATATTTATTCTTTTATGTAGTATATCATGCTAAGAAGAAGACAATAATGCAGACTGAATTTTCAGCTAAAATTATTGTAAGGACTGTCAAAGCCTTGGGTTTGCTAAGAAGCTGAAGGTAAGGGCATAAAAAGCAGAAAAGAAATGAGAAAGGTATTTTAGTTCTCAGAGAAGATAATTCTCCTAGGAAGTCTCTCCTAGGAGGCTAGGGAGCTACATGTTTTTTACATTAATGAAAATTTGTAGCACTGTGAATTAAATGGACAATTAATTAAAATTAATAGATATTAAAATTATTGTCATTCAAGCATCCTTGATAAAAAGTTCTGATTGGCTTTTAAAGTTTGGCTGCTTTTAGAAAGGTATAGGCTGGGGGAAGAATGAAAGATAGAGGGATGCCTGTTTGGAGAATCAGAGAGATGCTGTGCAACATGCTACTTAAGCAAAAACTAGCACCATGCAGCTTAGCTCCAGTGTCAAAGTAGTCATCACACCATTCCCACCACTAACAAAGGAAGAGACAGAGAAGGCTCAGTTTACCTGGGAAACATAAAGACCTCTGACTTATTTTGGGAGTTCCCATTGAAAATTAGTTTTGCATAAATGACTTAATAAATTTAACACAATGGAAACAGCCTACATTCATATCTTTCACATTGTGGGATCTGCATGAACTGAGAATGGCATTGAATGCAGTCTGAAAACAGAAACTAGGTATGACATCTCAACCTTTCCCAATTAAACAAAGAAACAAACACACAGGTAGCATTCTGTTCCTCCCTAATCCATGGAGGGAAGATGATCTTGCCTTCAAGGCACCTTCTTCTCTTGGAGCGGGTTAACTCAAGAACTTAAACAGTTATTTAAAGTATATATAATTCAGGTGCAAATAATACTCTGAAGTTAGGCAGACAGAATACTACATAGCCAACTTCATCTGTTCTCCCTTCTTTTTTTAGCTGGGAGAAAGTGCATGTTATACATCAAAAAAGAGGTCCTCTGTAATTCCAATGCCCATTTAGTTTGAAAAGGTCATAAACATAAAGGTCAAACTGCAAACTCTATATTAAACCATGCCTCGACATAAGCCTTCAGGGCTTTTGTTGACATTACTGTGAACTGTGCACAGAGGTCCAAAATCACAAAATATCAGGTGGAGCAGGATCAGGTCTAGGTTTTACAGCAGCACAGAAACCATCTCTTGCATCAGTAGTCCCATACAGCTTTTCACACATGACAACTAACTTCTACTGATAACCTATGTCTTTCACTGGGCTTTTCAGCATGAGGCCTCAATATTTCCCAAAAAGGGAAGTATCAACATCTTTTTTTTTTCACATGATGATATTGAGGAACAAGGAGAAAAAGTGTCGTTTGATACTGACACTGACTAAAGGCAGCAAAGTTAATCTAAATCTACAGTGCTCTGTCTATAAACCTCTCAGGGTGGGTTTTGTCTTTGCACCTTGTTGCAGAGCATCTGGAACAGCAGGGTCTTCTGCATGCCTGTGATTGTTGGCTATTCCTATTGCAGAAATGGGTGTTGTTACTAGTGCTATTACTTTTAACAGCAGTAATATTTATATGGTAACAGTACCAAACTGGATGGACAGGGTCACTGATTTCTCATTAAGTCTAGGAAAGCTCTGTGTCCATGACCCTTTGCAGTGATGCAGCATCTTGCAGCATCAGGAGCTACGGTTGTTTAAATAGCAAAAATCTTCTAAACCATTTGAACTATTTTAGCCATAAAGGTTCCATTAAGTGACAAATTAAAGGCTTAAATTTCATAATGGTCTCCCTATCATCTCTGTTTGGTAGGCAAAAATGAAATATTATTATAAAGTGTTGCTTGATTGCAAGTGACTCTAATAATGTAAAAGAATGCAGGGAAGAGCAGGGGCTTATCTCAGCACTTAACACAAGCAGCATTTTAATGAAAGTTAGTGAATTCACCAAGGAAAGGGCCAAAAAGCTGTGAAAGGTAGAGGAGTCCAGCAAAAGGTTCAAATGGGAAAAAAGCGTCAATAACATCAATAAAGATGAATTTCTCCTGGGAGGAAAGTAAGGGTCAGTGAGGAAGAGAAAGAGAATGTAAACATTAGCTAATAAATTGCATGTAGCTTACTGAAACAATCAAGGGAATGGGAGGAAAACTGCAGGAAACATGTTGTCCTTCCCCAGGGGCTAACAGGAACCCCAGAACATGACAATAGCTTTGGGTTTAATTTTAATTCGGTTGGCACATCAGAAACCATGCTACAAATTCAAAGAGGAAACGTTGCTGCTTCTGTCTTTTATCTGCACAAATTGGCAATAAAAGGTGGATGAAAATGACTCTGACAGACCCTTTCTCTTGTGGCCCTTGTCGTTCCTGTTGGCTAAACCCATTCGCAAATAGTTATGCTGAAATGAGAGCCAGGCTCAATCCCTGTAAATAAAGACTGCTGATTCACCCTTTCCACTAGGTCTGTGGTAAAGGCTTTTTGTTTCTCTAATCTTTTATATAGCATTTGCTTTATAACTCTTCATGTAAATTCTGCACCACTTTGTGCAGACACAGTATTTTACATCCAAAGGTATACAAACTTTACATACAAATATTAAGTAGCACAATAACTTTGCAGGATTGTTGTACTGCTGGGGGAAGTCTCATTTTAGAGATGTTAAACGAGTTATTTTAAATGACATAACTGAATCAGCAGCAGAAGTGGAAAAGAAATGCTTAGGAACATTGATTTCTGTTTCTCCGCTGCAACCAAGTGAGACCCCCTACTCACTGTCTTTTTGGCAGCTACATCCTTATAGCATTTCTCTGCAATTTTAAGACCATTACTTCTATGGCTGCTCCTCTGCTAAGGATATTTCTCCCTCCCTATTTTTATAGGCAATTTTATGTAAGGCAGTTTTGTGGTTGAAATCTCACATCAAAACACATTTCTCTTTTTCAGCTTGCATTCAAGACAAACTTTTGGTGGCTCCATTTGTAACCCATATGTTGATGCATCCCATTCTGTTTCACAGTTAAATGGATGGCACTGGACTGTGAAAAGTTTGAATTAATTATTTGTGATAAACTGCGGAAAATCCGTGAATAAAATGATAATAATTGGACACAAATACAGTAAAAGCTGTCATAGAAAGAAACACAGCACATCCATGTGTTGCATTGCATCCTGTCACAGGCACTTATGAAAGATGTAATATAAATTGTCTCAAAGAACTTGCAAAAATAAAAGGCAGCCTGGATAGTTGTATTTTAGCAAATGTGTTTGCACTAAGGGTACCTTCTGTTGAACAGTTCTGCCCACAAGCTGTCTGTAGAATATAGAACATCTCTCGAGCATGCTTGCCACCTTGAAGCAGGGCAGTCGGAAGCAGAAAAAAAAGAACAGAATGCAGAAAAAAAGGTGAAGAAAGAGAGAAATGAGGGACAGCAAGTCTAAGTACCATAAATACATTTAGAAATGAGATTAGCAAAGTATGACAATAGAATTTAAATGACAGACAACATTAAGATTGCAGTAAATAACATAGTATGAAAAAAAACAATTCAGCCATACAGCGCTCTTTTTTCAGCTTAACTAAGGAGTCATAACAAAAGCAAGAATATTATTATTATTGTTATTGCTATATTAAAACAGCATTTTCATTTCAGCATTACAAAAGTGTGTTTAATTTGGGGGGGGGGCAGTTCACGGTTAGTTTTCTTGCTCTCAAAACCACACATCCATATGCTTTGCTTCTGAAGTGTCCTCCTCATACCACTGGCTCCCAACTTACCGACAATATCAAACCAGAGGGGAATGTTGGATGGCTGCACAGAGACCACCCCAACGATTTCCGTCACTTTATCACTTTCCATGACGGTGAAGTTGTAAAAGGGTTCATCGAATGTCAGGGGCACAGGTGAGGGTGCAGGCTTTTTTATCCACTCAATATGGAGGCGAGCAGTTGAAGATTTTTGTGGCCGGCCATTGTCCACTGCTTTTATCTGGCAGGTACAAAGAAAAGAGGACTCAGACTGAGTCCAGCTTGGCAGTTCAAACCTAATTCTATCACATGACGATGACTGCTTGGAAAATGACCTTTCTAATCCTCTATGTAAAATCCCATGAAAAATTAGGAAGATAAACACTTATTTCGCAGTTCTCATTTTTTTCCATTACACTTTGACTTCTCACTGAAAAGACTGATTTTAAACCAAAACATTTTGTTTTAGAAATGCTGGTGTGAGGCATCCTGGAGATGCAGTTCAAGATTTACCCACACAGATCCTCCTTTCCAGAACTGGCTTCCCTCTCTGATTTAATCTTTCACCCAGTTCCCTCTAAGCAGAAAAGCTGGGAGCTTTATAATGAGCCTGTGGGATGACATGCACTTGTGAAACATGCTCACTCAGACCATGTTTGATTGCTTTTAAATGGTATCTGTATTGCAGATAAGACTGATATTCCTTATATTGCCTTCTTCAGGATCTTTAATTGAGTTAAATAAGTTTCAGATCATTTCCCCTGTTCTCCAAAACAAATATAGTATAAAATTTTGCCGTATTTATTTTCATTGCTTTCTCCTCTCTGTCGTGTTCATTAAGAGCTGCCCAGCTTGGCGCTAATTCTTTTTATTATAATGTCCTCTGGAGGGATGGATAGATTTAATATTTGCCTGGCATGTCTTATGGTTTTAGCACAGCAAAGACAAGATGAGCAGCAACAAACATTGGGTTTAAAGAAAGAGAGAATGTAGGTTATAAAATGGGTGCTTTTATGAATAACATCAATGTCAATCAAAGTGTTTTTCTTTTAAAACTATAGGAAATGTTTCTGGCTATATAGGACCATTGGTGTAAATATGCTGCTACTATGCCTGTTAAAAATGGGAAATATTTTCCTGAAATACCATACCCTCTTTCTCTGGAAATATGTTAAGTGGGTTTGGTGCTAACACTTGTCACCCTGCTCCATTCAAGGCAGGCAGGCCCTTAGTGAAAGGGTGATGCTGAGGGTATGAGGAGCAGTTTCAAGGTAGAAAACCTTCAGCTGTTGCATTATAATAAGGGCCAGATCCCAGATGTGACTTTTAGCTCCGCACAGGGAAAAGTACTCAGTCACCCAAAGGGTGCTCTACTCTGATTACTAGGTATTTCTCAAAATGTTGATATTTATTCATTTTCCTGTCACAGTTTCTAACTCTATGAAAATATCACAACAGAGACACCTTAATGTAAGTGACATTGCTTCCTTTACTACATGCCAGGCCATGGACCTCTGATATTTTTTTTGTCAACTACATAGCTACAACTTGTCTTACCACTATAGAATGAACATTCAAGTCTGATATTCCTTTATATCAACACCATCATCTTGTATTCTTTCTTTCTTTGACCTCGTCTATATGGTTTGAGTTCTGGTAGAAGTATTTTGACCGAGATGTCTTTTAACTGAAATTGCTGCCATACTTACACTCTTTAATGTGATGAGAAGGGTAATACAGCACACAGTACAGAGTACTCCTCCTGGAAGCCACCTAACTTGGATAGTATAAAGACCTTTCCATGAGGGCAAGCAATCGTGTCCACACTTGAGGTGAATTACCATTTTATAAGTCCAGTTCAACATGATACAACATTGTGAGCAGACAAGCCCTTGGTCTTCATTTCTGTGTATTCAAGGAAATGACTTACACCAACAATTTGCAAGTTGAGTGAACAGTCAGAATAGTTCACTATGTGCAACAGCACAAATGGTCTCTCAGACTCAATTTTTTGGCAGTAGTTGCATGTGAATACTGGATTTCTTAATACAGTCAGGTCTTATATATAGGTCATACATTAAACACAGTCATATATCACTCTTTATACAAGAGGGCCTATGTCTGAAAAAAAGGTCAAATCATGGATTTGTATGTCTATGAAGGAGCACTTACTGTTAAGATGTCATAACTCCCTGCTGTGAACTGCTTTCTGGAAGAAACCATCCCTGTTTTGGGATCAATAAAAAATTTCCCATCATCATTTCCATCCACAATGCTGTACGAGATTTCTGCATTAGGGCCTTCGTCTTTGTCAAAAGCAAAAGCTCTGTAGATTGGCTCCCCTCTTTTCTTACGGTCCCTCTCTGGCAGCTTGATTTGATAGACTTTCTCCGGAAACTGAGGTTTGTTATCATTCTCATCCAGAACTTGGACCACCACCCAAACGGATGACTGCCTGGGAGATGTGCCCCCATCTGAGACGGTTACCTGAAAAATGACATCAGGAGAGTTTATTCTGAATAGGTACAGTGGGACGTCATAAACTGATAAAAACCATACAACATAAGGAAATAGCCCTCCCTCCCCAAACCTAACCCCTACTTTACAAAATCTTCTGTGTACACAAGACATGCTCACTATAAACATGCTCAGTGCCTAACTCAAATATACCCACAATGGCAAATACAGGAATCCAGAAGATGTTTTACTTTTGAGATGAACCTGGAACAGGGACCCTGTGGACTAGGAATCTATTTCTCAAAACATTAAATCCTTTTATATCAAATTCTGCAAGTTTATCTCAGAAGAGAAAACTGGAATTAACCCATTAAGCAGGATCCCTGTTTTTTTGTAAACATATTTTAAAGTTCCTTCAGTCATGCAATGAATTTGAAAGATGCATTTCTTCTTAAATCCTAAAAGAATCTCTGTCGCTTTTTTCACATTAATTATTTGAAATTTCTTAAACAACAAAAGGATTTCTGTCAGTTTTTTTCATTCATTACCTGGGATGTGACAGCTCATTAATTCCAAAACTGCTTTATATGATTGTAAGGGGCACAGAGAGGCAGGTAGCAAAAAATTTCTGCTGTATTGTGTAAAGACCACACTGTGCTGCCAGGAACACGTAAGAAATAAAATCTTTGAGACAAAAGTTAATTAGTAATTTAGCTGCAACTTAAACAGAATTACTAATAATTTTCAGTCTGAAACACTGTGAAAATGAAATGATCCAAGATCAACAAGCACTCAAGAGATTTAATAATATGCCTTCAAAACGCAATCAATATGTTTCAAATTTCTCCCTCAATATTTCGATTGCTTTTTTTAAAGAGAAATAAGGCAGAAAGTTATTTCTGTTTGCATGAAAGAAATTCAAATTTCACTTTCAGCTACATATGCTAACATGCCAATTCCCACAGTAGCAATTTTTGATGATAGTGAGCCAAGATATTACATACCCTTTCCTGCTCATACCTATCACTGCACATCGACTGCTTTGCTGGTTAACTCCTCAATGCTTTATTTTCCCTTAAACATTTCTGTGTTCCCTTGGAAATCATACAGTCTTGATGTCCAATCCTTGGGCAAAGCAAAATTTTCTGGGAATAATGTTCTTTGCCATTGTCACCTCCTTGCAACAAGAAGTCTAAACTTTGGGTAACCCTGATTTGGTACTGAGATCAGCAAAAAACCCACAGCATTTTCTATGAGAAAGCTAAAAGACCTTTTCCATTTCCTGTATTTAGCTATACTTTAAAAAACTGATGCAGTGGAAGGGAGCAAAGCAACAGCCTTAGGGACTGAAACGCCTTATTTATAGAAAAATAAATGGCATGGCAATATACAATGTCATTGTAAAATCCCCCCAAAACAGCCTATAACTCATTGGAGAGTGGAGCCTGTCCTCCCAATGACATGTATTAGCCTCAGGCCTCTTCCTCCTAAGATTGTCACCAGTGTTGGTAATTAGCACTTGCTGGGATCACCGCCTTGGGATGGGGATGACTGCCGAAAGCTGGACAGGGACTGTCCCCACCCTGCAAAGCCACCAACGCGACATTTGTCGCTCACCAGTGACAGGGTGCGGGGAGAGGACCCACAGCTCATTACCAGTGTACTCAGCCATCCAGTGCCCACTCACTGCACTTTCCAAAATAGCATTTATTATGCTGAAAGGCTGCACACGTGGCTGCAAATCTGCCTTTCCACCCTGGGAGACTGACACTGCTGGGGACCTCAGCCTCTCCACCACTCCAGGAGAACTTCAGAGCTTCTGCAGCAAACAGAAAACCAATTCTGCCAATTCTCCTATTACAGGCTTTGAGCAAGAAATAGCTTTTTCCCCACTTACAGGCTGATTCCCTCTATTTCTGTTCTACTCCAGTGCAACTGGCCACGCTCTCAGGTTAACAAAGAAAAACCTTTTTCAGGATTTCTGCTGACTCGACAGATAAAATAATGATGTCAGGCAGTACAGGCTGTAGTGCACAGAAGCAACTGGACACACACTTACTTAAATGCTGGCCAAAAATACCAACAAAATGCTTTAATGGGGGGTAATGATCTTAATGCATAGAAAACACTAGTAAGATTCAGGAAACTCTTGTTTTTTGAACAGAACATCACTCAACTTTTACAAAAAAATAGACATTTTCTTCATTCTGCTAGCAGTCATCTACAAAAAAAATGTGTGTGGGGAGATAAAAAGTTTACAACGAAAAATGATAATAAAATCTCTGAAAACCACTGTGGTATAAACAGTCAAGCGACTACAATGAAAAGCCTACTTAAGTCAAGAGACTGCTCAAGAAGCAAAGCCGTCCTCCTGTTTCACCAATATACAGCCTCACAGTTTATTAGGTTACTGCTGAAATCCTGACTAACATTGTGGCAGTAAATAAGTGCATGCATTTGTTTGTTTTTGTAAGCCCAAACTTGTGGAAAATCTGTTCAATAACAGAAGAGTTGCACTGAAAATATTTGCTGACAGCTAATTGAAAATAAGTAATGGCTATAACACAAAATGTCAGCTAATTAACAGAAATTAACATAGAAGGCCTGAAGTTAGTCAATTCTACTCTGTCTAAAACTTTACATCCCCAGAGAGGAAAATGTTATGTACCATCTAAGCCTTTTTTCTCTGGGTGACACTCAAAACTTTTCAAAATGACAGGCTCCAGCTCTGCTCAAAAAGCTCTGAGTGCCAGACATGGGAGCTGAAGTGTGAGTTAAAGCGCTCTCTTTGCAGGCATGTAAATTAATTAATTAAGCTGCCCTCACACCGCTGATGTCATTATTTCCCTAACTGTAAATCTGTGCCCCAGCTGACCCCTCTTTTCTGCTCCAATAGCCTAACCCCAGCCTGGCTTTTCAGGTTCCAGCTATAAGCAGGGGAAAGAGCTGCAAAAATTTCCTCTGCCCTTACAGAAAACTCCACGACAACATATTAAAACAAAATAACAAATTGCTGCCAGTTCAAAATTGTTCCCAGACAAAAAAGGGGAGGACTCAAGAGGTTGTTCAGCACACCACTCTGCAAATACCATTTCCATCAGGGCACTGTATCACACCAGCACTTAGGGGCCCCTCAAACCAAGGCAATTTTAATTCAAGCATTACCATAGTTCTCAGCAAAATCCTTAAACAGCTGGAAATTACAGTGAAAAGTAACCAGGGAGGGGAGGGAGATTGGGACGTTTGTAGGACAAAGATACAAAAACTAATTCACAGCTGGTATCTCTGGAAATGTGAAAGGCAGATGTGCAAGACACAGGAGAGCTTGCCAGGAGCAAAGCTATAATTCAGGACCAGTGAGGTTCTTTTGTTTAGAAAGCTGCAGCTGTCATGGTAGAGAAAAAAAAAAAAAAAAAAAAAACAAAAAACAAAGAAAGGTGATATAGACGAATGACAGACTGTCTCAATATATGCTTGGCAAGATGTGCCATCAGAAACCCAACAAGAGGTGAATCTCACAGTAATCAAGATGGGGAAATGATGAGAACCAGAATTAAAGCCTTCCCAGAGATGAGGAATGGCTGCTTGGGCAGCATGTGCCTTCCTAAATGCTGAACACCTTCTCCAGTCCACGTGCCAAGTCTGATATCCAGACACAATGGTGCAGACATGCTGCTTCTTGCCCATGTGCAATCTGAGACAGGCCAGACAGCTACTATCCCCTCTGCTCTTTGGGTTAGATATTGCTGCTCAGGCTGTGTGAACATAGCCTAAACAGAGGATACAACCTCCCAAAGATGGGATACAGACATGAAGGCAGCTTAATTTTGACTCTCTGCCCAACCATAAAAGGGTTGGTCCATTCACCAAGGGTGGATTTTCTTAAAAGGAATGCGATGAAATGTTTAATGGGGTCTGACAGCATCAGACAGCAATAATAATATGAACTTTATATACCACTTTCACGGTGAACACCTAAGCATCACTGATGTTTTCCTACAACCAACAGACAGCTCCAATACAGTTTTCTTCATCAAATGAACACTTTATGTCAGGAATCTGCATTTACCCATTGGCTTTAATGTTTATGACTTTACTGAAATACATCAGCCAATAAACATATAGGTACTGGTTACCTGGAAATTTCTTTGCTAGAGTAACAGCATTAACACATTCCTTACAATGCTTCCTTCAGCTGGATGGACCAGGGCAAGATCTCATGAAATTACCTTTACCTACATCAAACATATATTTTTTGAGGAAAACACAAAAAAAATACCCCCTTCTGCAGAGTATGACAGATTCAGTGTAATAACAGAACTTTCAAAATCCAAGTAAGGCAGTGTTCATTTCTTCTGCAGGATCTACTTCAGTAGGTTTGATATATTTACATTAACACTACCTTTCCTACAAGATTGAGAGATGCTCTTTCATATTCACGTTTATGTTCAAGTCCACAGATCATCTACAAAGAGATTTTCATAGCCGTGGACCTTCTCAGTGAAAACCAGGGTCAACACTGCTAACATACAAGAGCTGGAATGTTAGATATGAAAATTTCTTCTTTTTATGACCATAGAGAAGACATGGAGGAGATGTCTACTGTGAAAGTATCAGCTAAAACACAGTGTCAGTCTAGCTGACCTCAATGCTGGTGACAAAAGTCATTTTACCTTGACACAGTCATGGATTGAGCTCAGAGGGCAACGGAGCATCACACAGCTGCTCACTCCCCTCTACCTGCCCCGTGCTGGGAAGGAGAAAATAAAGTAAAAGGCTTGGGAATTTAGATTAGGACAGGGCGGGTGAATCACCCATTATGGTCCTAGGCAGAAGACAGATTCATTAGGGGAAGAGAAAAGAATATAAATTTAATTCAGGCACTAACCACAACAGCACTTAACAGAGTAGGACAGTGAGAAGCATTACCACATCTTAGAAACACCTTTCCCACCAATTCCTTCCTTCTTCTCGGGCTCAGCTCTGCTCCCAATCTCTCTACCTCCTCCCCCCCAGCAGCGCAGGGGGCA